TTTCTCTGCCCGACTGGAGAAGAGATAATCACGTTTAGAAACGAAATCAAAACAAAAACAAGCTAATTAGGGACATGATGTGATCAGTTTCGGAGAAGTTTGACCACACCCTTTTCCATGACTAAGACCTATGCGCATAGGTCGTATTCCAATATGAGTTATAGCATAGCTATAACTCATATATTTTGGAGTCCCTTGAGACCTTTGAAATCGATCATATCCTTTCGTAACATTGAATTGTCCTTTTCTGAGATTTTCACTTATCTGTATCTGGTTCTTCGACGGCGAAATTTGCAAAATTTTCAACCGATGTACAGAGTGTAATTTCTTAATTCTTGCATGAGAAAGTTGTGCAATTCGGGGAAACTAGGGGACGACATAAATGCCTTGCTGGACATGGGCAGAAACAATTCTTAGAAAATGATCGTACTGGCAGGAAGTCCTTTTTCTAGAAGTGTACCTCAGTATTTGAAGAATCATTGATAATTTATTTCCTCATGTTGTTCAAGACGTAACTGACATCAAGTTGAAAGCGACCCTGACATGGACATTATTGGATTGCAAGCACAAAGACAAACTAGTTGTTTTGTTTTTGTATGGTAGGCTTTCGCAGTTCGAATTTGTTAACCTTGGGTAAATTGTTTGTTGCTGCATAATTTACCTACAACTTGCTACAAAAATAATTAGGGGAGATTGACACGATTCGTTATCTGGCTACATACAATAAGTTTCTGCGAAATTCTAACTTACTACAATTCTGGGGACAATTGCATGCTGTACAAATTTTAGTTCGGGAAGAATTATATCTTCAAAACTATCTGGCACCAATTATTTTTCAAGGAGAAATTCGATTGCAAACTTAACACTGTGGTTTTGTGTCACAAACTGGCATGCGTTTTTCTGTATTATTTATGTATGGTTTTATGCAAAATTGAGAACAAGCGTAGTGGGATTGGGTTGGGTTGGAAGACCTTCTGAAGTAAAATATCATGTACAGTCCTAGAAAATGTACGTTTCATGCATTTCTATACCGAATTTTTACCAAATTTTTGGGAAGGTAAATATATGTTTCACTTCAATTTAGTTTGAGCAAATCTTACATGCAGTTTCATATTTGCGTGAGAATTGCACTTGCAATTATTTTACAGCACTGAAGATCTAAGATCTGGAAATATTCAGCCCTAGAAACGACCAGGATAAGTTTCCCTTCATGCAAGGGAGGATATCTTAATAGCCGGCTAATTTCCACGAGTCACATTAATGTTCCCTTATTATATACGCGATTAAATGTACTGGTGCAATGGTGGTAATTAGGATACTCATATCGTCCACCCAGCGTAATTATCATCGTGTCGTTATCATTACTTGCAGTGGAAAAATGTAGCTTAATGAAACAATGGAGAAAAACTAGAGAAAGAAAGCTGAAGAAAGAAAATTATTATCTAGTTTTTGCATACTTTTACGTATTTTATATATCTGCAGCTCATTGCTCAGATCCTACTTCACCCATTTTTAGAGATATCGTCCTGTTTTAAAAATTTGTGTAGTATTTAAGTCAAACTATTATTTTATTTTGACGTAATTGTTCTAATTGTACAATAAGGAATTATAACCTGACAAACGTTTGATAATTTTAGAATTTTTAAAGTTTACAGCATTATAAAGGGCTCTAATTTAGTTTTTCCTCGTGTTATAATCTTACTACATATACACATGTGATTTCAGCCAATTTGTCCCACATGACAATTACTCCCACGCACTTTCCCAGGAGGAAGTCAAATATATTAAACTTGACATAAATCAATTCACTCAAATTTGCCCATTTGCTTTCTTTCCCATCCTCCTTTCTTCTGTTCGATTCAAATAAGGTTCCAAGTTCTTGACTTTCACTTAAACTCGAACCGATCGATTCATTCATTCATGGTAGAATAAAACAAGTCAACGCGGCATTAACAAAATTCTGTGTGGTTAACAAAACTTTGTGTTAATTTCAAAATTCTGAATTGGAACAGGACATATCAGAGATCCGTCGTAACATTAACATGAACTCCTTACTCATATTCTAATTTAGATTTCGTTCAAATTTTGTTGCAAAATGTGTTGCAACTGCGGTCCCAAATTTACGGCTGTAGCCAGCTATTCACAAAATTCTCAGTTGGTTTAAACGTTCGGAATAAATAACTGATTGCATCCAGCGATTCCGCTAGATCAATAGACGTATGGATTAACTTCAAATGCTTACCAAAATTCCATAATTCGATCGTGGCATACTAATACGGAAAATGCAATTATTTTGCAAACTTTAATACATAGGAAAATTGGGGTCCGAAATCGAGGCAGCGGCCAAATTCGAGTGTAAAATAATTTTTAAAATTATTTCCCGCGATATTTGAGAAAAATTTGGACGAGTTTGAATGAAAGTCCAAAATTAGCAAAAAATTCGCACATTTTGGCTTAGATCTCAAAATCCACCAATGGGCCCCCCCAATTTTATTACGGATTTTTGATCTACTCAATTTTACGCAACTTTTAAGGTATCTAACTTGAAAATCGTTAGAGCGCGAAAAAATCACTCTTTCATTGTATATATCTATCTTAATAATACGGAAAATGCAATTATTTTGAAAACTTTAATACATAGGAAAATTGGGGTCCGAAATCGAGGCAGCGGCCAAATTCTGGTCCAAAATAATTTTTAAAATTATTTGGAGCCATATTAAAGCAAAGGTTTGGTCAAAACTTGAATTTCTCAAAATTAGCAAAAAATTCGCACATTTTAGCTCAGATCTCGAAAACTGCTGGACGACCACCCCAATTTTATTACGGATTTCTGATCTACTCAATATTACGCAACTTTTAAGCCATCAAACTCGAAAATCGTTAGAGCGCGAAAAAATCACTGTTTCATTGTATATATCTATCTTAATAAATATATGTATGCATGTACAACCCATTATGCAGTGAATGCATTTAAATCACTACTGGTAGAGACGCCATAAATACACCCACCACCCACTCGACTAATTCACCTGAAAAAGAACCAGGATAAAAGAGAGCGAGAGCCTCCAAAAATCCAATAACATAAAAAATATACAAAGAACCAAATGTGATATTTTCACGAAAAAGCAATAAAAAGCAAATAAGCTAATATTCATACAACGAGTTTGACTTTGACATACCACCAGCACACGCACGACACCAGCACTACGTTTTTTCCCTTCGAATAAGCAAATTTGTGACAAATTGCTTTTACTTCATTTTCATTCTTGTTTGGAGCCGCTGTTTCATATGGGATGAGAAAAATAAATATGATGAGAATGAATGTGCATGCAACTACACGATATGCAATAATGGGAGAAAGCCAAAGAGGGGGTGTTGTTTTCATGTTTAGGTTACCTTCCTTGGCTACGATTGCTCTGTGTACTTGTAACTAAAATATAAGAAAAAACATAGCAAGATCGATGTTAAATGAACTTAAAACAAGTTGCATGGTTTCTTTAACGATCTACTGCAAGAAACAGTGCAAAAAGTTTCGATATAAAATGCTCAGATCCGCATGGTGTTAAATTGTCACCGCTGGGTGAAAGTTTTTTCACCACGGGTGAAGTCACGTGTCCACCCCGTGCTAGAAAATATTTTTTGCAGTGTACTTTTGTCGCTTTATCTACACAAGTACTTATATACGAAAAAAGTAGTAAATAAAGCCAATCAAAACCGACCTGCTAGAATTAATACACTTAATACCTTCCTTGAATAAGTTATAACAAAATTGTACATGTGACAAAACTTCTAAGAATTCCGCATTGCATTCCCTTCAATCCCTTGTTGAATAAATACTCGGAGAAATATATTTTCCACAAAATCCGGCTTCTCTCATACCGCAGCTCATTTCTTTCCTTAAATGGTGTCAATCATGCCGCAAAATGGCCAATCTTCCAAATTGACTTTCCTCGTAGTTCCCTTTTCTGCACTTGATTTTTTTCATAGAAAGCAAAACACACCAGAAACCTTCCCACTCTCGTATTTTTTTATCGTACGTTTTTCCCATGTCAGACTTTTCTACTAAATCGTAACCCAAACGGCCCATCCAGTAAGTGAAGCTAAACCAATTATGTATCATGGCGTTTATCATTGGTGGACAGAGCTATTTAGTTCGTGGTGTGTTTACACATTTGTTACGTACATGGGTCTATTTAGCTCAATTTCGATTACCCCAATTTTTCACTTACTTACACCATGAGACACTAAATTCTTTTAGGCTGCATGTTGGCAGAAATACCAAATTAAACCTTGTGGCCCTACACAGTGTTTCGCAGTTTAATCCACCACCGCACACTTATCTTTAGTTAGTGGCATGAGCGGGTGGGTAGGCTTTTCCAATTTTTAGTACTATGCGTTACATAAATGCATATAGAGCGTGCAGTTATTTGAAACAAATTACTTTTTTCCATCTAGAATTCCAGCTACTCTAAAATTCACACAATCAACAATTTGCTAAGTTTTATGATAAAGCGTCCCCTTAAAAAAATTATGATTCTCGCTTTCTCTGCTCTCAACAGAACATATTTATTTATTATGGACACTTTCACCGGAAGTAGTGTCAATAACAGTCAATAGTGTTTAATGTATCGATAACGGAAGAGAAACTAGCGAAATTCGGCTCACATTACATATTTCTAAAACCATCCGTGTTCATGTCTATTTGCAACGACACAATAAATAAATTTATAGCATTTTATATAAAAAATTATTTCAGGTAGATTTGTGAGGAGCGACTATGAGAAAAAATCATCGTGTTTTTATAACACGATGGGCTGTTTACAAATTCTAGTCACACATGGTTAAAAAATTTACGAATTTGTATCCCATCCGATTAATATCGAAACGCTAGGGGTAAATGAGTGCATGGAAATGATTAATTAAAATGTGAGACGCAAAACAGAGTTAATATGTATTACGAGATTATGGAACATCATTAATTTTACTTCTTTTAATTTCAGGACGGATTGAAAAATTGATGATGAGAATATCAAGAAACTTCTTATACAGATAAACTCTCCTACAAGTTTAAAAATATCAAATATACAATCCGATTTGCAAATTGACTACACCAAAAAAACTACTGACTAAAGAAATTTGTGCCAAAAATTAATTGTTCGTGACGGCATAAGTTGAAGCGATGAACATGTGGCGTGGCTACCATCAGGACACGCGTGAACCCCAAGGGTAAGCCCTCACCCCAGCGTATTTTCACCAAATAATGCAGTTACCAATAATCTGAAACATCTCCGCGTGGTCACATTAACGTCAAACATCACAACCACATTTGCGTCATATTTACCCATTTTTATTGTCATATACTAGTCATAAATCAATCCGAGGAACAATACTAAACGGAACTTTCTGTTTCTCTTCAAGTAACAAAGTTGCACATGTTTTCTGTATTTTTTTGCTATAATAAAAATACGTAGCTTAATATGTATATCTTACATTTTTCCTTATTCTGAAACTCGCTCACTCAGAGTTCGTGGTTGAGGAGAAAGTGGTCTCGTTATTTTATTAGACCATTCTTGTCCCGTAAAGTCAACGTTATTTCTCCTACTTTCGTGGCATGTCTCGATCGTTATGTTTCTGACTTTCATGTTGTCAAGATCATGACAAAGTTTTAATTACGGGCATAATTCGAGGCAATTACAAGTTGGTATATAAGTATACCCCGCATAACAAAATTGGTCGCTCTTTTCGGAGAAAACAATTTTGCTGTATGCCACACTTGGTATTAAACCCTAGAGTCAACGTCTTATAAGATTTATGGGGAACGAATAACTTTGTAGGAAAATATATGACCCAACGTCATAAAAGATGCAAGGCATTAGGTACCCATTTTTTATGAAAACTACTGTCACATTAGAGACAAAAAAAATAAATGAAAAAATCAAATAAAAATAAAACCAACAGATTTATTTATTGTTTGATTTATGTTGATTTTCGAGAAACAATTCTGTTTTGTTTACCAACAATTTCTGTATAAGCAAGCAAGAGTAATAAAAATCAAAGCAAACAAAAGCAACATCTCAACCTATCAGGACAATTATTTATTACTGTGACAAACTAATTAGTTTGTCAAACGTAGATGATTGCTTGTTTACCACTTATAATAGTTTTTCCATAATAGTTGATTGCATTCTTAATTACAGAAACAGAACCAGAGAAAGCATAATTTTTTGTAATGAGAGAAAATAATAAATCATTATGACCCACATGAGAAAGAAATATCACGCTTATTTTCTGTCCATTTTTTGTTTTGTGCTGGACGGAAACTAAACCGGAAATAAATCAGAGGACGGACCAGACGAAGGGTGAAAGTGGAGTGAGCTTACTTTGCTAGAAAGTGAAAGTTGGCCTTGGTCACACGACGTAGAAAGTAAATTATGAAAAAATAATTAGTTTTTAAGCCTGTAACTTTTGCAAAGAAACTTTCTCTCGAGTACTTTAATCTCCAATGTACTTTCCCAAGAAGAATTATTATCGTTGGGTTTGTTCGTCGTGTTGATTGACAGGTGACCGATTTATGTGAGGCGATAGAAGATTTGTAAGCGATAGCAATAGATGTAAAATAGCTTGAATCCTACCATTTTTTGATCCGTTTGTTCTTAGATAGTAAATCATAACGTCACTTGATTTCGTTACTTCATCATCCTCATCTACAAATAAACTTATAAAGTTTCCTTGAACCCGAATTTTACCACGAATATATTTTCATATCATTCTGATAACTGTTACCTTCAATCCATCGCCCACCCTTTCCTAAGTAAACAAATTCCTCCCCACTGAAAACTTTCACTTGGTTGATTGACCGACCAATTCGTCAGCCAAAGTGTCAAAGTTTTTTCACTTTCTCTGATTCCAGTGCAAATCCAGTAAAAACAAGTGTTTAGCATGCATCCGAGGAATGATTACTTGATAACTTTCTCCCCATTTTTACACAATGCTCTTAAAATCTAGACTCCAAACCTAGTCTAAAAAAGTTTGTGTCCAACAATAGCAAATTTCATTAAGCATCTAGTCTGGGGATGCATTCTGGGTGTCAGTCGAGTTGACATTTGCACAAGAGGAATTGAGGGAATATTTAGGAATTGCATGACAGAATTAGAAATTTAGACTTTATAATTTGAATTTTGACCTTTACAACCAGGAACTTTCTCTTGGAATTAAAAATCAATTCACAACTTTCTACTTATAGCGTATTGCTTAGTCCCTGAACAGTTTTGCACGACTTTTAGACAAAAATAGAAAGCTGTAAGGTTTCTCTGAAATTTTGCTTTGATTATTCTGATTCACCGGAAATTTGGTAATTGCTCTTCAATAAGTAGTTCACAAAAGAATACAACTCCTCGATGCTTAGCTTTCTCTTTGTCCTTAATGAGTCAAATTCCTAACAACGAAAAAAATGCTAATAATAAGTATGCATTTAATATCGTAAAAAAGTGGCATTTTACGATATCTCAGCCATTTCTCAACCGATTTGGATGAAATTTTTCACAAATCATTTTGAACCAATCTAAAAAAATTGTTTATTCGTCAGCAAATTTTTAATTTTATCAGTGATAAGCCAGTTGTCCAAATTTTAGTGTAAATTATTGTATATATATATGCAATCTTACCCATAAACTTTTGAAAATCCTTCAGTAACCTTTTATCACGTTGTGAATAACGACATACAGGTCGATGTGAAGCAAAATTTAAGCACTATGCACGTTCCAATGTGTCAACCTAATATCATATTGGATCAATTTAGATGTTTTTTACACAATTGCAGAACTTAGCGACAATAGTTAATAATGTTTATCATTCATCAAAATTTCAGCAAACTGAACCTAATCCAATTTGCATAAGTTTGAAGAAGAGTCTGATTTTTGCCAAAATATTTGCTTCCTAATCCAATTTCACTCCTCAAAGGAGTGTCAAGCATACATAAAACATGACAAAGCGGGAAATTGACTCAATTTTAGCAATTTCCTTTGTCACCTTTTCCCCTTTCTTGTATTCCATTCACGCAAAGTAAAGTTCAAAGTTTGGGCCTTTCTATTTTTCCACTTTCACCCAGTTAATTCATTAGAAAGAACCCATCAACAAGATGGAATACATTCATACTTGCACTCACTTCAATTCTTTAGCAGATGAAACCAATCCATGCACAAATTGCAATTACTTTCACCTCCGGCCTTCGATTTCATTTTGGCATCTGACTTCCTTTGGTTCCTCTGCCAAAGTAAATATGAGCTTCCGAACACCAATGCCTTGACCAAAGGTCATCATTCAGAGTTACGATATGTTTATGCCCCACATTAGTAACATAAATTGGACAGGATGCAAGAAAGGTTGCAAAAAACCAGGCAAAGTAAAAAAAAAAACATGAAAACCTCCGATACAGATTGACTCGAAATGTATTGCATTGTAGACTTTGTATTTTATCTTCAAGCTTTTGACCTTGCCAAAATTGAAATCAAATATTCATTTGCGAATGCAAGTCACGCCAAACGATTTATAATTTACAAAGTTATAAGTCACAAAACGGTGTTTGTAAGTGATGTGAATTGCCTCAGTGTGAACTTTTATAATTGCGTAAGGTTCGCAATTTTATATAACTTTACAATTTCTGAAAGATTCGAAATGGAAAAATAATATTTAGAATTGAACTGGTAAACAGATTTCGAACGGAATAAAAATTTGTAGGCTGAAGAAGTTTGAAAAATAATCTGTAGATGTATGCATGTATAGAGGAAAGTATAATGAAAGAAATGGAAATTTTGTTATAGCCTTCTCCCCTTGGATTTCTTTGTATCTCTCATGATTCAGTAGGTTACATTTCCTGGCTGCAAGTAATGATGGTGACAATTACGTTGGGTGAACAATATGAGTGTCCTAAATGCCAGGAACATTTAATACAGTAGATAATAAAAGGGTCATTAGTATGACTCGTGGCAATTAGCTGGCTATCAAGATATCCTCACTTATATGGAGGAATCTATTTAATCTTGGATGTTATAAGGTTGCATCATAGAATTTGACTATAAATATGCTTATGTACTTACATATATGGGTTGAATGTGTTCATCGTCAAGATTGTAAAAATACAACTCTCATTCTTACATCAAATCAATGTATTTATGTAGATCGTAGCTGTATTCAGTCAGTTTCAGAAAATTTAGAAAGTGTGAAATTTGTCAACTTTAGTGGCACGTTTACTCCAGTTTGGATACAAATATCTCCTCCAAACCCGGCATTGGATGCTGTGTCTTTTGAAAACTTCGTATTAATTGAATTTGTGATCGACTGACGCTAATTAGCAGCCTCTTGTTGTCTTTGATGAGGTTCCTAAACGTGATTATCTCTTCTCTAGTCGGGCAGAGAAAGCAATCTCAGTGATTTGATTGCTCTCTTTCTCCATCTCAGTGCCTACTGCTTAACGCGGAAGTAATGCGACTTGTCGGATGAGTACTCAATGTTAATAAATGTGTCGACGTGGTGAAAGTCATCCTTGATTGACTCGAGTGAGTGAAGGGCCTTTCGTCCGATGGGTTAGATGCATGGATGGGCTAAATTTATTAGTTAATATATATGTACGTATGTATTTAATTGTAATTTACTAATTATGTATTCGACGACCAATAAGTGTTACTGTTATGCTGAATTACCAGTACCGCTAAACACCGATAAATATCTGTATATTGAATACAATATACAATATATATAAATATCTGTGTATGTAGTTATTGTATAAAATCGGTATAAATACATTATTTGTAATCGGTAAAAAATACTACCATAGTATTTTGTTTCATTTCTTGCGAAGATCTTGCGCATTTTAAAAATTGTATACTTGTACGGCGTTAATGCAAATTTAGGAATTGTGAATTAGTAATGCATTATTAGATTCCAACGTATCTAGGTTTTAAGGGGGTCGGTCGTGTTTCTGTTTAGAAGTAACTAATTTTTTATAAGTATACAGTTATATTTTTTTGGTCTTTAGATTCTTGAGTATATGCTAACCACTAAAAGTTTGGATTACTTTTGTATGAATAATGTAATAACAATTATGGCGTGAGGTTTGTCTCTTTTGTCCTTTTGCAAGTGAATTGGTGAATAGACTTGAGAAAGTTGGATCACTTAGAAGAAAATGAGGAGGAGAAAGTTCATGAAATTCATGCAAGAGATGATAAGGCTTGATTTTTAGGAGGCGCATTTACATCAAGTAAAGGAAATAATCCTCCTGGATTCTGCATGTGGATTAAGTTGGAGAAAGTTTGGCATTGATTAACTTTCTCTTGTTCGTTCTATTTTTTCTCTGCTCCCGACACCTGCATTGTAAGGAGAAATGCCATGCAAATATGCGGAATCTGACAAAATTTGTATGAATATTTTGAAGTATTCGAAACACGTAGTGTCAAGGTAGGAAACAAATTCAATTAGCACTTCGTCGAATCATATTAGCTAAAATTTACGATATTTTGATATGGTTTGTAATGATAACAAACTTGAATTATAAAGTCAGAATTACATATCTTTGTCACGAAATTATTTTTATACTTTGATTAGATCAACTCGTCTGGCACCCAAAATGTATTCCCAGACTGATTGCTTAAGCAAATCTGCAGACAAACTTTTTTAAGATTACGATTCGACTCGAGGTTTTTAGAGAAAGAAAGGAGAAAGTCGGCAAGTAATCATTCGTCAATGAATTCGGTGCATGGTTAAACACTTTTTTTTAGATTTGCACTCGAATCAGAGAAAGTAAAAAAAAACTTTAACAATTTGACGAGCTGGTCGGTTATTCAGCAAAGAGAAAGTTTTTAGCAGGGAGGAGTTTCAATGCTTGGTGAATAAATGGGCGGTGGATTGGAGGTAATACGTAATTGTAGCAATTGGTGATGTTGCAGACTAGTAATTATAAATCAGGCAAAATTACAATCTGCAACCTATCACGGCAGAAACATTGACGAAACTGATTTATTTAATGTTCGAACTCTTCCTCACCTAATGCGTTGCACAAATATTACGTAAATCCAGCAATAATTTAGTTTGACGTTAGGGATATGCAAGTATTATTTTGTTTGTTTAAAATACACGACAGTGGGAAATTGATAACATGTCATCGAAATATAATATTGGAAAATGTACAGACGTTATAAAAATTGCGTTTCGTCCATGATATAGTGTTTGCCTCCCTTGACATATTCAAGATATCGAATATTTTACAAATTTCGAAATACTTGTGGCATATTTAGTATTACATTTATGTATACCGACATTTTGTTATTCGTTCTGTCTTCGACATTAAAGACCAACCCCCCAAGCTCAATTTCCCAAGTAGAAAGTTCTAACTGACAAGGAACTTATCAGCAAAATTTGTCGTGACAATGTAAACTAATTCCTGACATGAATATGTACGTACGTATTGTTTATAAGCTTTCAAAGCACACGGGACGACGTATGCAATGCTAGATTATTCGTAAATTTACTCTTCTTTTGTTCTTTGACACGAACGGACAAAAGCCTGTCTCAAGGTTCATTTCAGAAACCAAAAGTTTTCTTGTTCGACATGTTTTAAACATTTTGAGGAAGATACATACATTCATAAATATGTTGCGGTTGCTTTCAACTACTGAGGAGTTGTATGAAGAACTTTTGTTTGACGACTGCATGCATATGAATTACGCAAATTAAAGTCAATAGGGGTATTCATAACAGTTCTCATGTTTCGCAAATTTTTATTTTGTACGATTTCATTTTTATTTTGAATTGAACCATATTTTTGTTTATTTAAACATTTTGCTATCTAAAAACTAGCCGTGAAGATGGCCACGTTCATGTTTCGAGTTAATATATTGACATTTATTTAAGTATTTACGAACATAAAAATATATGTAAATCTCTACTGAACTATTCACACCATAGAATTGCTACTAGAACAACTTTAAACTTAAATATAGGCCAAAATGGGACCAAAATTATTTAAGATGACGATACCTAAATTCAGACCGATCTTTCCTTGGGAGGATTTTAGACGAAGCAACCACATGCAGACATATTTATTTCGGATAAAGTTCACTCTACTGATGCCATAAATAAATATTACCAGAGTGGCGGCGTGTAGTCAATAATGCAAGCACGGGAGGAGAAAATATCCGAATTCGGTCCACACTTTCTCCCCACGTCTCATCGCGGTGGATTTTCTGCACAAGTCGTCAATATTTAATTTGTGATAAAACACTTTCACCCGCATCGGTACATACTTATCGCCTTTCCTCCCAAACAAACCAGCTAAACGACTGAACATAAATTTCCTATTTTCATCCATCCCTACAAAACCGGGTTAATTGCTATGTATTTATTTGAAACTTTCCCTTTCAATCAATTTCTTCATTTTTCAACGAGATTGATGCCTGGACCCTCAATTCAATTACATCACTCGACGTTTTTTGTTGATCACTTGACTCGAGTGTCTTTCGGAAATTTCGAATTGTGATCAGAAATGTATGTTAACGCTGATGTGGATGTTAGTTAATCTTATTTTTTATTTATTTCAGGAATGCCGTGGATAATTTGCCGGTAGAAATAGAAATTTTCCTAGTCACACATGTGGCACTCCACTCTTAAACAGTCAGCCGTGGTGAAATCAAGGCTTCTGTGAATTTTTAAAACCTTGTTGAGCACAACAAACATTAAAAGAACAAAGTTTTCGCGTGTTAATTTAATTGTCTCCGATACGACAATTGACAATGCCACAAAGTAGACTTAACTGGTGTAGTAATTAATAAAATAATAGAATTTGCCAAGTTGTTCGTGGTGGTAGGGATGGTGTAAGTTGGAGCGATGAACACGTGGCCGGACGGCGTGGTGGGCATAGTTCCCAACAGGACACGCGTCATCATCATCTACCCCACGGGTAAGCCCCCTTCTCTCTCTATTTCCCGCAAATAATGTAGTTATCAATAATCTTAAGCATGTCCGCGTGGTCACATTAACATCAATCATCGCAATCGGGATGTCACATTTACGTCATTTTTACCCCATTTTTATTTTGTATTGTTTCTTTGTTCTCATCATAGTTCAATTCCGGGCAGAAAATAAGGAACCTCTTTTTCTTTCTGTTTGAGAGAGAAAGTTGCAACTTTCCTGATTTTTTTTGTTGCTGTAAAAAATATCTGATGCGTAATTTTATGATTTTTCCTCATTCCGAGTTTCACTTGTTCAGAGCTCGTGGTTGAGGAGAAAGTAGTCTCGTAATTTTATGACATCATTCTTGTCTCGTAAAAGTCTTGCTTGTTTCGCCTACTTTTGCGTCATGTCGCCATCTTTACATTCAATGACTTAAACGACGTCCATGTAAGATACAGAGTGCTCTTAATTAAGTACGGACATAATTTGAAATGATTGTTATAATTGGGGTATTATAAAACATTTCAACATAATTATGTCTAGACTTTCTCGTGGAGAAATTTAACCATTATGATCCAAAATGAAAGTCAAGTAGGATTCCTTACAGCAATTCCAACGCTCCATTAATTTTCTCAGCATTAATTACAATTTGTTAGTAAGTACATTCCCAATTCCAACCATTCCTCGAATTCACTGATAATAAAATTTGGGTCACTAACCACCAAATAGATAAGTAAACCATACAAACAATCCAGCAATTAATTTGTACTTTCAACTGACAATGCAAACTGCGTATATCACTATTCTTCGTAAAAGCAGTACTACGCAAAAAAATGGACAATATGGTAATGTTCAAAGTGGTTCAAGATGATGTTTAAGTCAACGTCTTACTTCGCGTCGCAACTCGTTCTGCAAATAATCTTTCTAAATAAAAGCATGACCATGTGGTTGAGAAATAAGTGACAAATTAGCGGATAAAAATCGCATGATTTTCTAGAATTTTTTTAAGAAATGTCCCAAATTTTGCAACAAGGGAAAGTACAATTAGCTTCCATATGCGAATGCAAATAATACTTAATTAAGAGTAATGTTTACCACAAATAAAGGCCACACTTATTGTCTCGAGAACTTTGGTTTCCTTCTGCACGAAACTCTGAGAGAGGACGAGGCGATAGGGGAAAGTGGAGTGAGAGCAGAAAGTGAAAGTTACACTGGGTCACACGACGAAATAATTTACGACATCATAATTATTTTTTAAGCTTGGGACTTTCTCCCACAAACTTTTTCTCCTACGCTCTCTGTTTCTGGTACTTTCAGTCCAGTGTAACTGCCAGAGATAATTTATTGCCGTTTTGTTTGTTCGTTAGTGTCGTGTTAATTGGCAGCTAATGGATTTATGAACAAATGCCAGTGTAATGCAGGATATAAGACGTCCGTACTTTTGTGGTTCGATAGCCTTTGTCCAGTATTTATGGCTCAGACAATCGTTAGATTAAGTGTTTATATTTCGAAAAAAAACAAGCTGTATTTTTTTCAAAATAAATGTCAACTTTAGATGCCATTAAAATAAATTTTGAAACTTATAAACGTATAAACTTATTTTGAAAATTATTAAGATATATGGATATAAATTTAGTTGCTCCTTTCTTATTATTGTTTATTCTTTTAATTATTGCTTATCAAGAAATTTGATATATTTTATATGTGGGTTTGGTGTGAGGTAACAGATCAAGCTTAAATTGAAACACTTTGCATAAATACAAAATCTCGTACACGCTATTAATAAGTTTTCAATTGCTCAGAGTAATTCTAAGCATTTCAGTACAATTACAAAGTTTTTAATTTAAAATTTTATTAATTTCAAAGAATATTAGCTACACTTTGAAGGGTTTATTTTGGTACAAAATTTACGAAGCAACCGACCAAATAATTCATCCTTATAGTACAATATACTACTATATTGCTCTGAAACTTTCTCGAATCAAATTTTATTACACCACTTTCTCGAGAAATTAAATCGATTGTTTTGTTATAGTTAATGAAATACTTGCGTACATTATTTGGTCCGCTTATTGTAAGCAAGATAGTCAAACTCGTTAAAATTCACAATGACCACGTAATCATGCAATGAAAGTGATTTTTATCAAAGACACGAATCACAACTATGAGTATATTTCCAGATGAAGCTTGAATAAACCCAAGGTATCTATAAAAGATGTGCGAAATGGGTAGTAAAATTCGTCCTAGATATGCAAACAAAGCTGTAATTATTAATTTAATTTAGAGCTTTCCATGCGTAATTTAGACCTCGCAGAGATCATTCCAATCAAATGCATACCCGAATTATATGTAGCTTGATTGAAATCACGGTGTCATTGTGTCATTCTGATTTACTGTGGTTGTTATTGTGTCATCAAAACTGTAATTTGACTCTAGATGAATTGACATAAAAGGTTTTATATCTCGTTTCCACTTCCAGACGTCATATTGCATGTCATTTGCAGGTTAATTAGAATTTTAATGTCAATTTCAGACCAGAGGAGAAAAATTAAGTTGTGACAGGGCACATATTTACTAGTCCCTATATTTTATGTAAGCTGTATGCATACATAGGGGTCCCATATTGTCGTAGAAAGTGCTTTATTTGCTATTTCGTATGTTTGTCGCTATATCATGAGAGGGATAAAACGGCCAAAAAGTGAGATATAGCACATAATGCACTTTCAACAACGACAATATGTCCATTGAAGGAGAGTTTAGGAAAAACTGGAATTTTGTGTTTACGTCCTTGAGGGTAATAAAGTAATAAACTTGCAGAAATTACACTGAACACGTAAAATTTGACGACTCATAATACTAATCCTAAGTCCTTCCTTGAATTCCCTAGCAAAATATTTGACTTCCAGGTGAATGATTTTCGTATCTTTCAGATTGATTGTGTGTAAGGTTGACCACAATGTGTTGCGCCGTGCTGAGGTATTCTTCATAATCTGGATGTCTCTGTACAGGATTATGTATAACATAATCCTGTTTTTACCACAAATCAATTCATAAATTTACAATTGTTCGTATTATCTGTACTGCGTATACTTATTTAGGAATATAATACAACGCACAAAGATCAAATAATTGCATTTTCTTTCATGGTCGAAGTCATCTATGAAAAAAAATCATAAGCAAAAATCATATCTTTTTTCATAAGCACCTTTTGCATGTATACTTTTGATATTTTCTATTGCGAAATATAATTCCCTGCGTTTCTACATCTACTATTCCTATTTCCAGAAATTGGACATCATGCAAAAAATACAAAAGTCTAAAATATACAGGGTGGTTTAAATGTCAGGTTACAATGGAAAATTTTTCAATGGGAAAAATTCGTAAATTTCCATTAGTTACGGATTTGGGATTGACATTTTTATTAATTTTTATCAAAACACTGATGACAAATTCTTAAAATATTGAATTTCAGAGGCAAAATTTCGGTAACTAATGGAGATTTGCGAATTTTTTCCATTGAAAAATTTTCCATTGTACAGTGTCGGACAGATGTCTACGTCCACATAGTCGCGTCAATTTCATTTTCAAATTGTCACTGAACTACTGAACCAATTTTCATCATTGATATATCAAATTCTCACAAATTTAACGTAATTTCATAGCACATTATTAGTTTTCCGCTAAAAAATTTATTTTAGGCCAGAGATGTATTTTAATTCAAAATGAAAACAATTGGATGGACAAAAGTCAACGTCCAGTCAGAGAAAACATACAAAAAAAACTGTAATTTATAAGGAATGTTATAACAATTAATTTTTAATATTTGGTTGTACCTCCGTTCGCTTTAAGGACGGCTTCAAGGCGTCGAGTCATTGAGTTTACCAAATTCTTGGTCACATCTTCAGAAATGGTTTCCCAAACTTCACGAATTCTGGATTTAAGGCCCGGAATTCCTGAAAAAGATTGTTTTCTTATTTCTCTTTCAATGTGGTCGCACAGATGCTCAATGGGATTCAAGTCTGGAGATTGGGGAGGCCATTCTAGCTTCGGAATTTTTTTTTCTTGAAGTATTCCATGGTGGACTTGGCAGAGTGTTTCGGATCGTTGTCTTGTTGGAAGGCAAATCGTCGTCCAAGTCCAAGTTTTCGAACAGATTCCTGGATATTACGGTCAAGTATTCCCTGGTACTTGTATTGGTCCATAATTCCGTCAATAAATTCCATTTTTCCTGCCCCACTTGAAGCCATGCATCCCCACACCATTACCGACCCGCCGCCGTGCTTAACTGTGAGGTTGAGATTTTTTGGATTCAAAGCTTCTTTTGGATATCTCCACACTCTACGACGCCCATCTGACCCAAAGACATTGAACTTTGACTCGTCAGTCCATAAAATATGTCCCAGAATGTTTGTGGCTTGGAAATGTGGTCTCTGGCAAACTTCACTCGTTTGGTTGCATTCCTCGGTACAATAAGAGGCTTCCGGACTGCTCTGTGGGATTTCAAATTTCCCTTATTCAGTGTTCTTTGGATGGTCATAGGACTAACCTGTTTGCCGAACATCTCCTTGATCTCGGTAGATAGCTTTGGAGCACTAAGTGAGGGTGTAACGTTGACTTTGTTGAGCACGTGGCGTACTTCTTGGTGAGCCAAAATGGGTTTTCGACCACTTCTGACCTTGTTTTGGACTGAACCATTAGCTTTAAAGTTCTTAATGATTGTCTGGATGGTTGTCCTTGCTAATTTATACTTGGTCCATATTTGTCTCTGCGACAGCCCCCTTTTTGTCCACCCTTCCAGTCCTGAATGACAAGATCTCGAATAGCGATAGGAATTTCCTTGCGTGTCGACGCCATCATATTTTTCTGGAAGAAAATTATTTAAAAATTAATGCGGCATATGTTATTGATAGATTTATTAAGTTACCTGATTTTATAAATTGGAGAGATTTTTGTTGTTGACAATTAAAGTGAAGTGGACGTAGACTTTTGTCCGCGCAAATTTCATCCTCTCTCGCTCTGCACTATGATTCTCAGTTTTCCCAGAATTTTCAGAAATAACTCATATGTTTTATGAAATTACGTTAAATTTGTGAGAATTTGATATATCAATGATGAAAATTGGTTCAGTAGTTCAGTGACAATTTGAAAATGAAATTGACGCGACTATGTGGACGTAGACATCTGTCCGACACTGTAACCTGACATTTAAACCACCCTGTATATGAAAATCTTAGCAAGACGCAGATCAGTCGGAGTAAAAGATAATGACTTGATCTGAATTTGAATGGAAAGCTCATAATAATTGACGACTCCTCACTTTCTCCCAGCCAAACTATTCTCCCAGATATGCATAAGCTATACACGACAATAGACGTCCAAATTTATCCCGATCGATCAAGGATCCGTCTCGTTTCCTCACCTTGGACGTAAATATGGTTGATGATGGACATCACAAAAAAATGAAGGCGAAACTGAGTTTTGAAAGAGGGGAAAAAGACGTTGCCCGAATTTGAATAGAAGGCGAAATAGATCCCTCATTTTCTCCTCAGTTGTAAATGAAAAAGAAATCTCGATCCTGAAGTGCATACTACAAGGCATGGATGCCATTGTGTATCAAATATACCCAACTTTTCATCCAATTTGTCACTTTCACTGATCAAAATCTGTGCAGAAGCCTCCCCGTTGAGACAGAATAATTAAATCAAATATAATACTTTCATTACAAAAATAACTCTTTACAAGAACTGGGCTGGTATTTACATTGTCCAATTAGTCGTGACTTAGTTAGTCAATTAGCCGATCTAATTAATTCTGGCATCACTAATTAATTATAAGGACATGTAAATACAGCTAGGTTTGGTTAATACATACGTACGTATCATGTTTTTCTACAAAGGATTCATAAAATGAGGGGGATTAAACGATTAAACCAACAACGAGCAAAATACTTGATCAAAAGTAAGTTATTCTTGTATCATGATAAACATTCAATAATGTTTATAAGCACTGGGTTTTGATACAATTGCAATTTGTTATCAGGACGAATTTTTGTTACAGCTGCACAACTAATGATGATATTTATGAATAAGGGAAAAAATACAATACAGCTCCGTTAACTAGATCAGATTTGATATGGGATTTTCGACTGTGTGAAGAAACCTAATTTGAATAATGAGGTGGAAATTGGGCGAAGCTAAAGTCAAGGTTGAAAACGAGTGCATACATTTACGACTTAAAATCATGGGACTACTTTCACTCGGATCATCAACTCGAAATAAGTAAATTGGCGTGGGTGTCATGAACAGAGGTTTGTTTGACAAACAAATTATGTAGATTTGGTAGCATCCTCTTGCATAAAGTGCAGATCTGCGTTTCATAATCTCAGAAAGATCCAGAAGGGGGGATTGAACATGAAGAGGATTACGTAACTAAACCAGATCAAAATTTTCAATGTTAAACTTCACCCAATGCCAATGCCAATTTCGTAGGATTCGTCATTCGCAAAAATTAAATCTGGTCACGAATTCCAATCCGTAAGCACATTGCAATCCAATCTTCCTTCGTGTAAGATATTAAGCACTAGCTGATTCTTAACTGTGGATAAAAATATCTGTGAAAGCTCTGCTTTCACCTGACACCTCGTTGTCTCTGTAAAAAAGAGAGGAAAGTAAGCTCATGATCAGCCTCGTTGTAATTTCAGAGATTTGAGATTTCTGGTCTAAATAAAAACGTGACAAAGCTGGATTTCGTTTGTCACGTACAGATGACCATTGGACGATTCCAACTGTGCGTAGTTTCTTCTATATTTTTGTCACAGCTTTTCCCTGATTTGTTTATTTTATCGTGCTCCTCTGTCTTATCAGGGTCTTATCATTCTATTGCTACGTGCCCTAATTCTGACCAATTCACAATCTTCTTGTGTAAAAGAGTTGAAACAATTGCAATATTTTCCGTGCCAATTTTAGTCCTGATTTCCCATCGGAGGTACTTTCACCGCCTATTTTCTCGTCATACATACTTTCTCCAGCGCTAATCTCTTCCAGTCTCCAACCTAAAATGCTCAATTGTCACGTAACAAGAAACGAATGAGATATTAGGTGCATTCAATTCTTCTGTATTTTCATTTTTTTAAATTGTGAACATATTTTGGAAATAATCAATTAATTTGGATCAATAACTCGCACTGCGGAGTACATACATATATAATTAGTTAAACAGTTGATATTGCAATTTTTCAGTAATATAAGTTTTCATTTTTTGATTCTAGAATTTTTAAAAATGTTATTTTTGACTCTAAACTATTTGCTCAGACAGATCATCATGCTTGTAGTAAAGTTGCAGAGCATGTTTCGTGTAGATTAGTAGAGTTGCAGAGTAACCAACTCCAAACACTTTTGTATGTGGCTTGATTTATTCATGCAATAATATAGCGTGAGACATGTGGGCCCACAAATAATCTCATGCAGCATGCCAATTGCAAATGAATGCCTTGTCTTATATTTTGTCCATTTATGCAAATTATTTCAAATTGAATGCAATGTTAGCCGTGGAATAAGTACAGGTAAGAAATTAAAGACGATGCCCAGCTGAGCCTCAGTGGTCTGGGGGATAGACTTCAAATCTATCGAGCTAGAAATAGCTAGAGGTTCAATTCCTCCTGGTGGGCGAAACCAATTTTTTTGCACTCGTCAACCACACAAAACAGAAATCTTGAGGTGAAATTTAAGTTAAAAAATATCTTAGAAAGCATTGGTCAACTCGTGTAAACTTAATTTCTTTCATAGCATACAATAGTGGGTGCCATTTGATAGTCAAAATAGCAACACATGCTAATTAAATGATTTTGTGCTTTAAAAATATTTCTGCAGTTTGGCACGAAATTGAATATATTTCAATTACAGATAAAAGTATTTCAAAAAGTCTCCTGTAGACGGCTGAATAATCGTCACGTCATGATTCAAGTACAATTGAGAGAATCCGTATCTATTTTACGTAAAATCAGGGGACCAATTTCACTCGGATCATCAAACGAAACAAATTGGCACGAGATGTTTTATTTGATAAACAAATTAGTCGGCATCCACTTGTACAAATTTCATAATCTGCCAATCTCAGACACAGGCTAGATAGCGGGGGAGCTGGCATGAAGTGGATTACATAATCAACATTCATGACTACATAATGTGTAGTTGAACAAAAATGCCAAAAACCTGAGAATTTTAGATGTAATAAATTATTATGCAGAAAATAATAATCACACTGTAACAGTAAAGTTTTTAAATTAACCGTTTCGTTAAGGGTTAATTAGATAAATTTGTTCGTTTTCCAAAATTAAATCTGGTCACGAATTCCAATCAGTAGGGACATTGTCATCTAATTCAAAGATATTTATTAGGTACTGATCTTTACTGTATATTTTACCAAACACCTCGATATCTCGTTGTCTCTGTAAAAAAGGAAAGCAACCTTCACGCCACAAATTGAGCTAACTAGAAAGCAAAGCTCATCATCATCGTCGTTGTCATCCCATCGATGAGATTCGCGTCTAAATAAATACGTGACTAGGCTGGATTTCGTGACAATTGAACAATTTCACCCACCTTTGTCACGTCCAGACAAGGACACGATTGACCATTGCTCTTTGCAGGATTAAGGTTTCAAGCTTATACATTTTTGTCACATCTCTTCCCTGATTTGTTTATTTTATCGTGCCAATTTATCCGTGTCTTATCATTTCGCTGCTACGTGCCCTAATTCTGACCAATTCACACTCTTCTTGCAAAAGAGTTGAAACAATTCCAATATTTTTGGTGCCAATCTTGGTCCTGATTTCCCATCGGAGTTAGTTTCGCAACCTGCTGTCTCCATGTACTTTCTCCACGGCTAATCTCTTCCAATCTCAAAGATAGCGTGGAAATCCTCAATTGTCACATAACAGGAACAAAGGACAAGAGACTCCAGAGAGAGGTTTCCTTTCTAGTTTTGGAATTTCGGCTGTTTTTGAAAATCTCTCGCTATAATACAGAAATATATAATTTGCAACAAACATTGATTAAAAAATTGTCATCTTTGAGTAAAATTGGAGACACACATTTTCGGTTTTGACCAAACTATACGTATCTCTGAAATTCCACAAGATAAAAAGACGCCTAAGATTTGTGGAAGCTGAAAATATATTTTTCAGCAAATTTTTCCCCATAATCAAAATTTTTAATTAAGTTGAAGGAATGTGCTTGGTGATGAGCATTAATATTATTAATAATTGTCTCGTATTTAATTATTATCCTGTTTATGTGTTTGCAGTCGACCCCCAGATCGTGGTCGTGCCGATAATCTCGTCCATCATAATATTTCCCATTGTCGTATTCCTTGTGATTTGTTGTCTCAGAAAGATGGCGGCCAGGAGGAGACAATTAGCTAGGTTAGCCCAAAGGTAAGCAGCTTCTTGTAGCAAATTAGCCACGGACGGAGGGGTATATTTTTAACTTCAGACAATAACTATTTATATTTGAATTTAAAGGGATGAGATTTGGAATGAGCGAAGCTGTGCCTCCATCGTGCAACGGAGTCCCCCTTATAGCTTTAGCGGAGGTGAGAAATTACAAAAAATTTGGATTAATTTTACAGAAACTTGTAGAAATATTTCAGATTTTTTATTTACACCATGAAATATGTACCGCAAATTTTCATTGCCAATTATTTCACGGCAATTCACAAATTCACATTAAGATTTGCAACTGTCAACTGTGCAAATAATTCTGTTCTGTCAAATTCTGTATAAAATTTATTTGCAAAACTACTTCACAAATTTTACGAATACCATTCCGTATTTTTTAATTGTACCCAACAAAGTATAAAGAGAAACAATAATTTTCCATAATTTACCCAATTTTCAAAGTTGATATGAATCAGTAAAATTTTTCAAGTATTAAATATCATATTTTTGTTAACTCAATTGTTGAGTTCTTCCTCGAACATCAGAAAATTCAAATTTACAAAATTAGCAAAACAATATTTAAGAAATTGTTCAGATTTCAATTTATTTAAAGCAAATTTTGAGAAAGCGAGACTAACGAGATAACATATATTTTGGGCTGAACATTATTAGTGTATCCGTTCCAGGAGACAAGTTTGGTGAAGGTACAACCACCGTGGAACTGATGACCCCTGACCCTGACCCGCCCGATTACAACGTGATCATTAACGACGACGATCTCGACCACACCCATTTCCACGTCCCTCCAGCAGAGACGAGTTATTATGCCAACACACACATTTAGCACGATTTATATAATTTTTCCTACCAAATGAAAAGTGATGATGATGTTAACATCTTGTCAAACATAATTAATCAATTGTGCACTAACTTAAGTTTTTACGAATTTTGAATAATGATATTCTCATATTTAATTCAGAATTTAACCAATAAATAAACTATAAAATAATGTGAGAAATTATTTTAAGAAATAGCTTTACGAAACATTTTTAGATATAAAATGCTAAATGTGATGAATAAAACAATGAAATTATGGAGTCCAGTGGAAATATTTTGCAGTTCAGAACGTCAAATTCATTTTTTAGAATATTGAGCAAACAATTAAATTTCACAGGTAGGAACAATGGATTTGTACAATTTTACAATTTTATGATAATTTTGTTTACTTATTGATTTTAAGCATGTAAAACTCTAGATTTGCAATATCGCGGTTCAAATCCATAAATACTTAAATTAACAATTAACAGTAATTTTGCTATAATAGTTCAATTATTTATTACATGAATTTGTATAATTATTATACTTGATAATCTTCATGAGACTTTGCAAAAATTTCAGTTACGGATAACAGAACAGTGTCCGATCTATCGTATACTCCAAGTCCCCCCTCTTATTATCACTGCCCAAACTGAAGGTAGAATCGACGACCGGACTTTCATATATCCCCATCAGCCCTCCAGCAAATTTTCGAATTGATTTTAGACTACATGATTTCGTAGACAGTGACAATTTCTTCAAATTTTGCAGTGTAAGTGCTCTTTTGAATTGAAATAGTGTTACCATCCGATTTGAGGCTTCACTGTTCAATATTTTATCAACCACATTTGTCCCAAAAATGTCTGGACTACTCTTTGCATAATTCATTTGAGGTAAGCTGAGCTCTTCGAGATGGGTGAACGTCTCACAAATTGTTTTCATTTGCCGTTGCGTTAGTGCATGTCCGAGGCATAAAACTTTAAGATTATCTTTTGGAATTACGGACACGTCGACGATTTTTATACCGCAAACTAACACTTCAAGTCTCTCCAAATTGTTGCACTGTTCCACCCAGTGGCACCAAAATGGACCAGGACGATCTTGTTGTTTACAATCGCAGAAACATCCATCGAGCAGAACGGATTTCAAAGTGGCCGAACACTGGCGAAGAATTGCAGGGACGCTGAGGAGTTAATCAGTATCAGATTTATTTCTAAATAATTAAACTAGGTTAAGGGCCCGGGGGAAGATTTACTTTCGAAAATTGATTTTATGTTAGCAACAATAATTGCTAGGAATCTAAGATTATTTATCACTCTATAAAGTTACGACCACGATTAATTGACACCGTTTCTATGGCACGTCCAAAAGCTTCTGTTTGATCACTTTTCCCTCAAGTTTTTGAAAAAAGGTTGTTTTCTTTTGTTCCATGGATACTCAAAATGCAATTCATGCCATCAATTTTGCAATTCTAAGCCAATTTGTGCTCTCTTTATGACCAAATATCTCCACTGCACAAGAGGGCACATTGTCAAACAAAATGTACGTAAAATCTAAAGATATGATTAACAAATTAAACATAATTTGAAAAATGTGCCCTCTTGTGCATTGCTGAATTTTATTGTCAAAGTTGACGTGATTTCTAAGCAACTTCCCCCAGGCCCTTAAGCCTCTATGGTATGACGCGTTCCCGCCTCGTCTCATGTTCCCCCTTAAAAATGTACATCATGCTTCCTTATGGAGACCTTAAAATCCCTACCTCTCCGTTAATCTCGAATGAAATTTAAATGTGACTACTTTAAAAAATTCTATATTTTCAACTTTACAAATCTCAGGCAGCCGATTGTTGAAAAAAAATTCCTTAACTGTAAAATGCAGCAAACTTTGAAGGAAGGAAATTTTTTTTCAACAATCGGCTGCCTGAGATTTGTAAAGTTGAAAATATAGTATTTTTTAAAGTAGTCACATTTAAATTTCATTCGAGATTAACGGAGAGGTAGGGATTTTAAGGTCTCCATAAGGAAGCATGACGTACATTTTTTAAGGGGGAACATGAGACGAGGCGGGAACGCGTCATACCATAGAGGCTTAAACTGGAAATTCAAAGGATACGTACGTCCTCCAAACTGGCATATTTTCTCTGCGAATTTTATGTAATTCCAAAGTGTGGAGAGATACTTGTGCCCGAAAGAGTTGCAATTCTGATGCAATAATAATTAGAAAATTATGAACATATAACTTACAAAATTGTTAAAATAAGCCGAACATACCCAAATTTTTCCTCTTTTGCCCTTCACTACGCAAAGTATCGATATTGAGATGAGTCAACTTGTCAACTTTTCCCAAGCCCTCCAAGACATCGGCGTAGAGGACAGGGTCGAGCCTGTGGTCAACTTGCATGAACATCGGGGAAGCGTCATCCTCTTCGTTGTTATTATTGTTAATTTTTCTGTCAAAGTGATTGGAGGGGATGAAAAATGAGGAAGATATAGTTCTCTTGACCTCAGTCAGCATTGGGTGTCGTCCAACGAACGAGTACACGTCAGCGTACAAGGTCAAATCGTCATCATTCTTCATTGAGATGGAAATCTTGCCAAGGTTTGGATACGTTTGGCTTAAAATATCTTGAATGGCGGGGAGACCATGAGTTTCTTCCACAATTAGCTATGCATATTAATTAAATGCTAATTACTTAATTACCATAATTTAATAAAAATTCATTCACCTCCAAACATTTTAATCTTGAAAATTCCAACTTTCTCAAAAATGAATTATCTCTCTTGATATCTACCAGTGCACTCGATGCCACTGTGAGTCGTTTCATGGAAGAAAATTCAGTAAATAATTTCTCCAGTTTGTCCGCGGGCAAGATTTCCAGAGATGACAATGATGGGGTTGTGGGAGGTTGGAAGGATTTGATATTGCTAAATGAAGGGGAGCAGTGATGATGGTCGGAGAGGAGTGTGACCGCTTCGGGGTCAATTTTCCATCCATTTGGGGGATATGGTTGGGAAAAGTAGCCGATGACTAGTTCTCCAACTTTGTGAGATCTTATAAATCTCTAAATACAAAACGAATTTGCGATAGGTACAGCATTATAGATTTATATAATCGATACTTATAATTAACTAGCCTGCAAGTAACGATAACTTTGCTCGTTGAGGATAACTTTGAGGGGGAGAACTTGGTCAATGATCCGTTTCCAAGTTTTACAAACTGTTCGAAGCTTTAATTGTGTGCATTGGTCGAGCAAGGTGAAGATTTTGTCCCTCACCTGAAGTAATAATAATAATAAAGTTCTGGAGAAGGTTTCAAATTTCACATATTACTAATAATTCTGTTACCGTCTCTGGCGATTTGTGGATCAAAGTTTTAAATTGAGTTTTCATTATTTGGATACTAATTTTAGATAAAGAATTTTATGTAATCCAATAATTTAGTTACAAATCGTAATACTAATTACAGCCAATTTTAGTTAATTAAAATTAAATTAATTATTTCACCAAACCCAAGTTTGACATTTACGAATTATAACGTAACGACAGTTCCTAGGACATTTCAAAAACCTTCATTTTCGGAATATTTCGGTCCTCCTTGCGCCAAAATTGTCACACAGTAGGCGAAATTGATTAGGATTTTGCAGTTACAAATTATGCAGATTTACGCTACTCATGAAATAATCACTTCCATCCGATGGTAATAATTGTTTACAATGAAAATTCTTATAAATCGTAAATAAATAAGCTTGTTTGAATTTATTTAGTACAAAAAGTTTGCATGAAACTGAAATTTTGAACTAGTTGCATCATCAAGAGACACCGCACCCCCACCAGAATTACCAGTGGTAATTTACCGCTACAATCTATCCAATTCTAGTCTCCTTCTTTCAATCATGATCTTCACGTAGCACGCGTCTTTGGGGTCGCTCGGGTCACGATCGCCAACATCAAGTCCTTGCGTGTATGAGATGATTTTCCTATAATAATTTTAAATTTCAATCAGTAATAATTACAAAAAATTAAATAGCCTATTGCAAATAGGCTAACCTAATCCTCTTCCAGGAGGAACATCTTTTCGTGAGAACCAATTTTTGTAGTTTAGGCAATTTCACAGCCGATTTAAAAATCCCGATCGATGTCTTTGGAATGGTCCGATCAAATTGTGCCCTATCTTGGGGCAAGTACCATTCCACCAATTGTGTCATATTTGTAGCGATGAATTTAATTTGATTTGCACTCAGACCATGGCCCAAATGCAAAATTTTCACCGTTGCAACCGGAAGCAACTCTACGTCAACTATTTTCACCCCACAAATTGTAATTCGGATATCTTTCAAATTTTTAGCGAATTGAAGGACACGACACGAAAACTCGTCCAGTGGTCTAATAAAAACGCAAGATTGAGGAATGTGTAAAATAATAAATGTTCAAATGGTTGATAGTTGCCTATTTTCAGGACAAATACACCCGTCGCAATGAATCGAGTTTAATGTTTTTGAACATTTCTGCATGAGTTGAACTCCTGCCTCCCACACGCCAAAATTTGATCTGTAATTAATGCGTTCCTTCTTAAATTTGAATTGAGACACGTCCTTAATCCCAATTTTATGCACACCCACCTGCTTAAATTTTCAAGTTTGAGGCAAGTCAGGCGTTCTTGATGGTTCATAAGTTGTACTCCTGCAGAATAATTATTTAATTATTTACATGTATCCACCAGTCAGCTAATAAGTAATTGATAATAATTTACCATATAAAAATCGTGACCTTGCTTCGTAAAAAGTTGGCTTAAACGTAAATTCGGACAATTGTACGTTCTTCAGCTTACTCATCGTATCTTGAAACACGTGGACGGGGATGGAATGGTCGAGATCGAAAATGAATGGAGGCATGATGTTCTCATCCGTCAGGTTGGAGTACACAAGCTCAAAACTGGTCAAAGTTTTACAGTGTCTTCCTACAAATTGGAACACTTGCTTATAATATGGCGGATGGTGGAGGAGGATAGTTTCACGATGGTATTCGATAGTCAATTTCAGCCTTTTCAATTTTGGAAACATATTCCCCATCGTTTCCAAACACATGCAATATCCTCGACCGTCTTCGTTGCAGCCAAAGATCTAATTTTTGCATGCAGGTATTAGCAAATAAGTTTCCTGAATTATTTTCAATATAAACAAACCTCTAGAGAAGTTAGATTTGTGAAGTTGGTCGTATTGAAGAGCGAGGGTAATTCTGAAGACATCAATGCTCCTGAATTTAATATTAGGCCACCTTCAATGTTTCTGTATTCAAAGAGCAACATGTTCAAATTGGAGTTTGAGATTCCTAAGGTTTTTCTTAGTGTGGGATCTTCTTCCATCATCATTGTCATGTGGATTGGGACGTTTTGACTGTGGAACTCCAAACTTTGTGCCATTAGCCCGATTCCTTTCAACGGATAGCAGAAATCCATGAGTTTGGTCACGACTAAAGTATTTGCTGTGTATCCTTTTTCTGTAAAGTTTAAAACTGATTGGACGGATTCGTCACAAAGTTCGGGATACCAGGCGACGAGAGGGTCGACGAGTTGGAGCCAACGACGACAGACGAGTCGAGATGCCCGTTTGGAGGAGAGGTCAAGTCGTTTGAAGATGAGAGAGGTTATCTCAGAGGGGATCAGCATGTAGAAAATCTGGGAGAGTTGATCGTCTTCGTCTTCCTCGTCGTCGGACATGATGAGATCTTGCGACTTTTGTTCCTGGACAGCATTCTCTAAATGGGGATCGCTTTCACTATCCTGACCATTCCACCACTTGAGATTCATCTCCGATTCCGTGTTCTCTTCACTGTCTGCCTCCGAGTGAAGGGAGTCGTCGTCATGTTGGTCTCCATTAATGACGAGTAGGGGTGATGGTGTGGAATTGTCCATGTCTATAGTGTTGCATTTTAAATATATTTTTTGTGTGATAAACCCTTTATGCAACGAAATATCTTTGACTTTTAAGTATCTAAGGGCTACTACAATTACTAATCAAGTAAATTATATTTCATTTTCTCATCAGTTGGATTAATTTTTTTTACGTATTTTCAACTGTGTGATCCATTTTTGTGTGAAAATGCCGATATGCTAACATGGTCCTCATGTATGTACGTCTCTAAACATGTCGTTAAAATCTCCCACAAATTGGTGAATCAGAAGTTTTTGCATACAAGTTATTTATTCAACGCCACTTGCAAAAAGGCACACGGGAAAATAATTGATACACACTAGTCAGTCAAATTCACGAAAAAATGTTGTATGTAAAACATTAGAAAATAGTTCATTAATTTGTTAAACCGGTAGTTGAAAATTTATGACTCAAAATTATATTGGAACATGCTTCGATTGATTGTGATCATTTGATATTTTGGGCCAATTTCCATTTCCTCTGGACATTTCGTAACGACAAGTCCAATATTTCGTACGGAAAACTTCTTAACTTTCTTCCACTCTGTTGCTTTTGTGTACATGACTAGAAGCCAGAAAAATACACAAGTATGATTAACTGTACTTGAGTAATTGACTTATAGACTTGAGAATAAAACTTACCTAGATTCGTAAGTGCAGGTAAATTTTTCAGTATTTTCAAAAATTGGGTAAACGTCATGGCTGGAATAGGAGAATCGGCTTCAGACTTCTTGGGACGGATAATCAGCTTTCGCAATTCTTTAAAATGACCATCGGCAACGAAGGCGAGCTGATCTCGATCCAGGTTCAAATCCAAAATTTGTAAAGATTGTCGTGGGATGTGTTGAATGTCACCAACAATGAGTCCACACACCTACATACCAATAAATATCGAAACAAAGGAGTAAATACACTGTGATTTGATTCGGGAGAATTAAAAATAACAAACCAACCGATAATTGCAAATCTTTCAAGTTGCGGCAGGAATGCAAAGCAGTGCAAGAATAATGTTCCATGATACCGTCGGATGGACAGAAACATCCTTGAATCACAATTGTTGTCAGTGTGGATGAACATTGTGAAATTGCAGCTTTAACATGCGTCCACATTGTTTTATTACATCGATGAAGATTCGGTATTTTCAAAACGGTGAGATATTTCTGACTTTCAAGCAGAGTGCATGCTGCAAAAAAAGATTATAAAGCCAAATATTGTAGAAAGTAAGAAATAAATTTTAATTAAACTGATTGATATAAGTATTAATACCCAAAGTGAATCGATTTTGCCCTTCGTAGACGGTTGGTGCCATTACAAATTTATCTAGCCGAACAGATGTCAATTCCGTCTTCAACTGTAGAAATTCTTCAGCAGACATTTCGAGGTCCTCAGTTAGGTCAGCCGCCATAGGCTCTACGTATCCTCCAGTATCTACAAACACATTGCCCGAATGACGTAAATGGTGTTACTGAAGTCAAATAAATACTTTATTGTAAAATTCTTACTAAAATCGACATGAAAATCCCTCAGTGTCTCCTTATGTCGGACGCAGAACTGGAAAATGTTTTTGTAATATGGAGGAAGTTCAATCAGTTCGCCGTCCACGTCAAAGAAAATGCTCGCTCGCAACTGCACGAGGCTGGGATACGTATTGTCGATCGCTTTAAGACAAACATCGAATCCAGGTCCGTCAGTATCCAGCGTCGAGATCTGTATAATCAAAGCAATTTCAAGCAAACAGTATAAAGCGAGGAATAATAAGGTAAAACTGTACCTCCAACGACTTTAACATGGGCAAATCCATCGATTGAAACGAAAGTTTGTCCGCTTCATTCAAGGCCATGCTGTGTAAGTGTATTTCTTCCACATTCTTCAGTTCCAGCATCATATTTCTGCACACACCGACATAAAGTTCAAATTTCGATGCAATTCTTATTACAATAATTTATATTACCAACTTGCATACCTCAGATTATCTGACGAAATCCCCCTGTACTTTTTCTCGCCTCTATCTTTAAACGGGAGAAAATGAATGGCTCTCACTTTAACAAATCCCATTCCACTCTCGGGGTAGACAAAGCCTTGAAGTTTGGATACATTGAGCTCGTCGATCGGGTAGCCTTTTCGAATAAATCTTTTGAGCTCCTTAATTCCATGGTCATACAGGTAAGGTTTCCATTTCAAGGTTGAATCAATCAGCTCTGCCCATCTAAATCCATAAGTTGTAATTGAAATTAATTTCCTAGTCTATTTTGCCACACTTTTAATCATAATAAAGGTCAAAACGTTACCGTTTTGAAACCAGGCGTGCCTCCTCGCGTTCCTCAGTATCCAATCGATTAAAGATCAATCGTGTAATCTGTAACCCAGAAGCAAAAAATGTTTTCTGTGTGTCTTACATATTTCTTATGCTTACTTTTCTACTACCAGTAATAATAAATTAACCTACATCGCCTGGAATTAGAATTTCAAATATATCCTTGAGCATTTTTCCATCCGTTTTTTCAGCCACTGCAACTTCTGTCCCAGTAACGGGTTCAGCACATTGTTCTTCTTCTTGGTCATGGTCTAACATTTCTTGGTCTTGGTCATGGTCCGACATTTCTTCTTCTTGGTCATCGTCTGACATGTCTTCAAAATCAGAAATTACAGAATCCTCCATAGCTTCCGGCGAATCTTCATCCACCTTGGAAAATGACTCATGCTGCTGCTGTAGTTCCTGATGCTGCTTCTTCTCCATTCTTTTACGCCGAATCCCAAATATGTTTGAAAGAAACTAAGAATTTAGATAAAATACATTTCAGATTTATAATTTTAAAATTGAATTATTAGATGCACTTGTTGAGAATTTTGAAAAATTAATCAGGGATGAGATATAAATTTGTATCAAAAGTGTAGTCATGGCTCACATGTATTTAGATAATTTAACGCCATGAGAGAAAATCTGGAGGTCAATGAAACTCAAAACTTTTCACTCGATTTTTGCAACTTTAGTTTTCTTATTTTTAGTAAAAGGAAATATTTAATTTTATTATAATGTTCAAACATAAGCATGAAAATGGTGACATGGCATGTATGAATGATTTTTAATGACTTAACTAAAATTCTTCAGTTATAATGTAATTACAATTAACCAGTTTGGATTTAGTTAATAATCGCAAGTAATAAACTATTTATAATGGTCATTCAGGAACATGAAAAATTCTAACTTTTGACCCACCTCTCAAACTCCTCTCGTTTTCAGACAGACTTTCATTGAAAATTTTAATACTATTCATTTGTTATAGAAAAAAAGTCATTTAAAATTGGATAGTGGTTATTATTATTCTGGCATTATGATTATGATTAGGGAGAATATGCATGAATTTACATTTTCCAGTTTTCACCATTTCTGGGGAAAGTAGGGATTTCGATTTCCGGAAGTTGGATGGATCGATAACCCGACGACTTTTTCCGGGGTGGTGAAGATCAAACAAAACGTATAAGATATACATAGGAATGTCGATACTATTTTGTTACGCAGTTCAGCTTGTACATCTCTTGAGATTCGATATTTTTACAAAATAATTAAAATACCAATTTGAAAATGGACGACACATTTGACGAGTCGGATGACCTAACAAATGCAAATAATATTTTGGAACAAACCTTGGAGCGACCTGCTGCCGAGTATCATATCCAAGCGCATTACCAACCACGTAAGTCTATTAATCCGACTAAGTAATTTAATTAAAGTTAAATAACTAGAAAAGTTTTAAACATGTTTAAACATATTTATAGCCGACCAAGCAAACTTTTGGATGTTTTGCATGATTGGAATGGGCTGCGCATTTGTGATCTTTGTCATTGGAAGTATCTACTTAATGTGGTATGTTTATAGTACTTATGCACGATTAATTAATCAAACAGTAAAAAAAAACTTATAAACGATGAATTTGACAATTAATTATAACATAACAAATAACAATAACTAACAACCTTCATCCTACTTACCTGTCGCAGCAAAAGCCAAAAGAACAGCCAGCCAACCCCCATTCGTCGCCACCCTACCAGCAAAAGTCGCGGAGGCATTGGGGAAAGGTCAGCAGTGAGAGAACACCTCTAATCAATCAGCGACCAAATCCTATTCTTTGACCTTTGACCCCTCAACAATTTATTTTAAAATACTCGGAAACTTTTACTAGCAAACGTAGTAATTGGTTGAGATTAAAATTAATTATTGAGATTATTGAAACTTTGTTGAGATTACAAGAGCACGCACCCGCACCCTAGAAACTTTGAGTGTAAAATAAAATAAACTTTATCTGCAACTCTGTCATCATGATACTTCTGAGAAGCCGGAAATAAAACCAAGTCACAACCTGTACAAACGAAACTTGACAGCGTTCAGGTTCAGCCTTGTTTCACACTAAGCACTGAATCTAGCTGCTTACTTACTTTCATACTTATTTGTCAGAAATAATATGGAGGATACGACGTATAACCCATGTCTCTGTTTGTAAGATATATATATCTTACAATTAGATATATGTAAATATATGTATTATACTTCTCTTATCCATAGATCCGTACGGACCGGATCGTTTCTAATTTCCATAATTGATGTAGTAAGATAACCAAACCAAACTAAATTTACAACTTGGTCGTCAGTAATAAGACACGAAGATAAATACTTTATGCAGATTTATGGAGCAGGCTATATCGGTCGGGTATTTAACAATATGTCAAGAAAATTTGCAATGCAAAAAAATATTTCTTGCATTTTTCACCTGATTTGGATAAGAAACTTTTAACTAAATCATATATGTAGGTCTTCCTCTTACGAGATATGGTTGGGACTTATCGGTACAAATATGTATTTTCATAAGTATGTAAAATCACTCCAAAAATGTTTACCTTTCTTATAAAATTCATGATTTAGGGATTTCTATCCTCAAATGTTAAACACCACTTTAATGTCAACGGTCGTAAGTCGGGATGAAGTCCAATTTGCAAACTATGGCTTGACTATATTTTCAGGTGCTATATTTTGCGAGTTAATAATATTTCTTCAGGTTGACGATGATGATATCCTATATTTTCAGGCATTGCTCTTTTTATCGGGACGCGGTTGGTGAGAAGAATATTATTATTTATTTTACAAAATACAACAATTTCTTCCCTAACAATGAAGTTAGTACGGATTGTTATTGTTATTAAAATAAATGTACAAATAAATTGCATAAACCATACACAGGCTTCGGGAAAGGCGTTGCGGGCATGTTATATTTGGCTAGTTTGTCGCCTCTATCTCACCCTCGTCTTTAGCATGCTGTGCTATGTCCTGATTGGAAGTGAGAATGAATTGTATGAAATATATGGGATCGAGGTATATGGATTGAATTTCATATGATGATGCAACTTAACGACATGATAATAAGAATGAATATAATATCGCATATGATTAACCAGGTCGTATTCTTCCTCCTTTTGCACGCTTACTTCTTCGTCGTCGTATTCATCTTTACAAAACAGCTCCGTATGGATATCAGGATTATTAAGATGTCAGCAAAATCAAAACAGCAAAGGACTCGAGTCCAACTAAAACTTGGGAAAGCATTACAAGCTCAAGACATACATAAGGCGAATTTGCATGAATTTTGTCCTGAGCTTTATCTCAAAACTTTAGCCACTTATCGGAGGAATAGCAGAGAATCGGTGAGGTATTTAGAGCCACGCCGTGGTGACGATGAGGAATGGTCGGAACAGCGGTACAGATCAATTTTATCAGGAAATGTGTCACCGTCGGGGAGTTTGATGAGTAATTTGAGTCTGAATCCGTCCGTTTTTGAGACTCCTTCGAATTTGAAGGTGAATGCTGGGAAATCAGGTCAAAGAAATCCGTCGCCCACAACAGCGGCACAACAAAAGCAACCTCAGGTCCATTCTGTACTGAAACCGGGGGTGTATAAAACCGGAACTGATCCTGAAGTTGAGGGGAAACGGCGTCTCAGATTTTCAGAAGCAGCTCCTGCAACTACGACATTACCGAGAGATATGGAACAAGATATTTTAAGAGAAAATTTAATGTCAAGGAATCCTGCTGCCAGCAAGTTTAAGAAATTGTGAGAAATTGTCATGAAATTATGAACACAAATTGAAAAGTTTTTTTGTAGGTATTTAAATAACGAGTTCATCATCATACTCCCAAAATCCAGCAGGTCTAAATCTAAGCACGATTTTGAATAAAGGAAATGAAATACTTTTGTACAGTTGAGATATGCACAACAACGGTTATTTAATAAAATTGCCCTGGTTTACTAAATCTTTGTGATGATTTTAATTAGCACATTTTTCCTGTTGTAGTACTAAAATCGGATTGAGTAGTCGTTGATCTCTTTGACTTTGTTGTTCCGTTGCGTTGCGCTTTTTAGTTCATTCCACACATCATCTGAATTTGTTTCAAAGAATTTCTTTCAAAATGCACCCCAACATAATTTTGTTATTTTTATTTCTTACAATATTCTTAATGATTTCAAATACACAAGCAGAATCGGTACAACGTGATGTTGAAACTTTGCCAAAAGTCTCATTTCTTAAAACAAACTTGGAAAATAAAATTGTTCATAGAACTTCAAGAGCAGGGAGACAACCGGCAAGAAAGAAAAGGCGAAAAACATGTAAAAATTTACGAATTTAAATTTATTGGTAAAATATTTCAGCTTTTTGTTAAAATTTAGCTCAAGCACGCTCTCCGATCCTTAGACGTCAGGATGCTGGACAACAGGGACCAGGGTTAAATATCACCTCTGTCTCACCAATCGAACTATCTTTGGGAGGTATATACATATAAATATGACTTCATTAATAAATTACTTACTTGATATTATTATGTACATTAGGCTAAATGAGTTTATCTAAATTTCATTGATTGACATTGAATTTGACAGGTCTCACCGGATTGCAAGGCCTTCCTCCATTAAGCATTATCCAATTTGTGAAACTTCTCGTGGCAGTGACCCCATTTATCATCCCCCTCGTTTTCGTCCCAATACTTATCTTCACCGTGGGAATGTTCATGATTCCTGTCCAGGTGCGTAAAATTCATGATAAGTCACTGCATGCATGTATAATTTTCATTCAAATAAGCGAACTTAATTGCTTAATTATAGAAACCAAGTCTTTTCGTGGGTGATGGTCCAGTTAAGAGGAGTTGGACCTCTCCCAGCCGTATTGTCCCGACGTTGACAAATGTTGCAAGAAATTTTATAAATTTTGAGGAATGTTTTGAAAGATTGGTGTGTGAAGTTGGAGAAAAATACTTGGAAAATCATGTCGGAATGGATGGTAAAAACGGCAAGGTGTCATCATTATCATCAAATAGTATTGATTACCGAAGTATAATTGGAAGGTGCATTTGCATAAGAAAGCTAATTACTGAAAAGTTATAACTAAAAGTTACAAAATTTCACACTTATTTTGACAATTTCATAGGATGACGAACCAGTTTAATCATCCACTAATGAGACGAATATCAACTGGTCTTCGCATCCCAAAGAATTCTTGCAGAGAGAAAACGTGCAGTTTGATATCATTTTTACAAATATCGTTCAATATGTGAAACACTAATTTGGTGATTTGATAAACATAGTTTAATCCTGACCTCCAATAATAAGATAAATAAATTTAAATTATTTAAATGCACATTTTTCACATGTAATCTAATTACCATACATATACAAATCAGTATGCAATCAATGCCCGTTATTTGTTCTCACCTTTTCTCATCATGGAATCGGGTCAAATTATTTAACGGACCGAATTTATTTTTTCATTAGATGATACAAGTTAATTATTTGTCGTTAAAGAAGATCATCTTAGGAATACTTACATACTTGCAATTTACGTAGTATAATTTCAAATCTACTGCAATCAGCAATTATGCCTTCTTATTTTCTTGCATTTTTTCTTTTCAAAAGTTCTTTCTGTCAAAATTTGTACACTCATCAAGGATTCAACTATTTAGATCCAGCATGGACAATTCCAAGAACACAAGATTATTCCATAATTAATAATCCACCAAGGTCAGAAAATGAAATCTTGTTACCATCATGGAGGAGAGAAAATGAAGTTGAACCCCCAAAACCACCCACGCACCAAGTGTCAATAACTACAGAAAAACCACCCGAAAATGTCAAACAAGACGACAAGAAACCTGAGGATGAAAAAGAAGACTCGAAAATGAAGGAAGAACCAGAAATGAAAGAAGAACCAGAAACTAAGAAACCAGAAGAACCGAAGAGTCCATTTGACGAATTGGCATCAGACATAAGTCGTCCCGAATTTTATCTCCCAATCCTCAACGACTTGACCTTTATTGGCCTCATACTTCTCTTCATGCCGGTCATCATTCCATCAATCATCATCCCGTTAACGTCCTACGCCGTCGGAAGCCTCTTCATACCTGTCGTCAGGTTAAATTATTATGTCAACCATGTTCTCAATCCAAATCCTATTCCTTAATTTATGAAAATAATTTACGTAATTAATGTGATTGAGTAGTTTGTATCAATTGTATCAATCGGTGACATATGTCTGTGTCTCGATTTATGGCTGCCCAGGTGCAAATAATTAACCAAAAAAGGATGGAATAAAAACGTTTACATGTTGATTTCAAGAGCAAACTGCGTCATAGGTCATTGAGATATGTCACTAATCATTAAGCCATCATCTAATCATGCCCTTGTGACTGAAGTGGGTTGTAGAATTCCATTATTTGCATGTCGTCATTAACATTAACATGAATTGTGGCATAAAATATGCATGAAATGTGCGATATGGTGTGCACCTTGCACACCATCCAGATACATAAAGTATTTAAACCCGGCGAGTTGGATTCTCTGGCTGGATTTTGACACGGCACTCTCCGAGATCAACACAACCTACGTATTTTTTGCAGCAAAAAATTGCAACTTTTTGCACAATTTTAATATGAAGACCTCATTGAAGCTGAACAATGGGAGTGAAATGCCCATGGTAAGTTTTCCACACGTCAAACTAGAATGCATGCATTATTTTAGCGTCATTAGCTTAATAATTAATTACTGATTGTTGTGCAGGTTGGTTATGGAATGTGGCAATCTGACACTCCTGAAGAACTTGAATCTGCCCTGAACACGGCCCTTGCCGTCGGTTATCGTCACTTTGACACGGCGTGGGGTTATCGAAATGAAGACGTGTTTGGGAGAGTATTAAAGAAGTGGTTTGCTGAGGGCAAGGTCAAAAGGGAGGAGTTGTTCATCGTGACAAAGGTGACACAAATTCCTGGATTAATTAAGTACGGATGTATTAACAATTTTGTAACGTCTTTAATTTCCTTTAGCTCCCACCCACTGGAAACCACCCTGACCGCATTGAGCTCTATCTTCTCGACTCCTTGAAGGCCCTGCAACTTGACTATGTCGATCTCTACCTTATCCACAATCCGGCTACCATTAAAACACAACCAGATGGATTCACTCCAGTCAGAGATGCGAATGGCAGGATTGTTGTCGACACGTCGGCTACTTTGGAGTAAGTTGGACCTTCAATAATTAAGCCAAGGTGAAGTTCTAAAATTGAGTTAATTCATTCAGGCAAAGTTGGTGGAAACTGGAGGAACAAGTGACTCTTGGACGTTGTAAAGCGATCGGGTTGAGCAATTTCTCCCCAGAACAGGTCATCCGAATTTGCAAATGCGCAAAATCCATTAAGCCAGCTAATCATCAGGTAGAACTTAATGCAAGTTACCCAAGAAAGGAATTGCGAAAAGTGTGTGCCGCTAACGGCGTCACGGTCACTGCTTTCGCCCCGCTAGGCTCCCCTGGCAGAAAAATTTACAAGGGATATACGGCAACTGGAGCGGATTCGTGAGTGCAAATTACAAAAAATACATACTATAATCAAAGAAATTCTAACTTCCAAATTGTTCCAATTTTCAGGATCGTTCCCATCCCACCCCTTTTGACTGATCCTGTCGTCACCCGCATTGCTGGAAAACATGGAAAAACTCCAGCTCAAGTTTTGCTCCGATTTCTTGGACAACTTGACATTATTACACTGGCAAAGAGTGTGAATGCGGATAGAATCAAGAGTAATTTCGCCCTCACTGGGTGGGAATTAGACAGTCAAGATATGGCTGATTTGGATGGATTGGATCTCAAAGTGGAGGGAGGTACGTGGGGATTCGATTGGAAGAATGCATTAGGAGGGATTGAAGATCATCCAGAATTTCAGTTGGCTGGTTAAACTATGATAACTCATGATGATGATGAAATGATGTTATCTAAAAATTTGTAAAAGTAAATTTTAATCCGAGATAGTAAATACAATGCAAAATTAATTTTTATTAGACACCAAGTTTGAATAAAGTTGAGATTAAACACATAAAATACAATAACTGACATAAAACTTGCATATTTTACTTATTATGTATGCGAGGTGTAAAAGGTAACTGGCATGATGAGCTGAACGTTCTTAAATTATGAGCATAATATTCAGACTAAAAATGGACTTTATGTATACCGTAATAATATTTTCTTTAAAAATAATTACGGTTAAAGCTTAGAGTATCTAATCATAATAACTGTGATTACGATATTATTGCTAGATACTCTAAGGGTTAAAGTTTGTATAAAAAAAACCGTAAAAATAAAACATCAGATCACAAAAAAACATCTAAATTATATAAATGACACGACGACCTTAGTTTGGATCTCAATCCAGCGGAACAGCAAACGCCAACTGATAAAAATTTACAAAACACAAAAACTTAAAAATAATGACCAGCTAAATAGATCACAACAATTTAGTACAATTAAGCTAAATCACAAATAATGCCCTTCACCAATAAGATAAGCTAAAGCAATAAAGGTTCATCATCCCCATCCTCATCGATTGGATAAGCTAAACTCACATTGTCATCCTGCGTCTGTTGGCGTCGAAACATTGGGAATGGCCAGCATCTCAATGACAAAGGGAGCCGGCTTCGAATACGTTGAAATATTTGATATTTCCTACCAAGATACACAGCTCCACTTACAAGGGCGATTAGGACACAGATTATCAAAAGGGCATCCAGTGCTGTGGAGGCGCCTACAATTTAATGTTAGAGCAGTAAAATCAGTAACAAAATTATAGAAATTTCTAGTTTTTACAACAATTTCCTTAATTACCTCCAGTTTCTGGAGTAGGAGTAACAGGGGCGATTGTTGGATGGACGCAAGTGCCATTGGGCGCAGGCACATAGAAATCATTGCATTCACAGACACCTTTCCCATCCTTGTTGACACAGGCCCCACCACTCCCACAAGATAGCATGCTAAAGTCACAAGGCTGGCCTGTAACACATATCATAATTTGGGGATATTAGAAAAATGTGACTTTATACATAAGTATTTACAATTCCCTACCTAATCGATTAGTAGTGTCATTATTATATACTAAACGTCGAGTATGCATTTCTGCAGATGTACTGCGACTAGATCTATGTCTTGAGAAGAGATGCTTGGTCTTGGAGTGATCACAGGCGTTGATATGATGATAAGGCAAGTTTAATAAGGGGAGAAATAAGCAAGAGATTTCGTCTTTGGTTTCACATGATTGGAGACTTGATGTAAAAATATATTGTGGTTTTTCATCATCTTTTGATTTTGACAAGGTGGCCACTTTCAGAACTATGTTCCTGTGTGATACTGCAAAATGTAACAGAGAATTAGTAATTAGTTAGCAACTAAGCTCAAACTATTGGTTTCATATTCATACCTTCACTGATCTTATGTCGACCAGTTTTTCTCGAGACCAAAGGGATTGTCAAAAAGAAATTTTCGCCCAGAAGTGATTTCCCATCCGCTCTAAACTGTACGGACGGTTGTTCTATTTGACAAATGTTTACTTCAATACGAAACCTGAGACTTAATTGATCATCTGATGACTCTTCTTTCTATTGAAAGAAAATCACGATAATCATAATTGATTAAAAATATATCCTATTAAATTATTGAATTATAAACCCTTACATTTGATGATATACACTCTAATCTTCGGCACTCATTTTGAACAGTACAAATCACATTATTTCCAATATCAAATGCTGTCCCAAGTGTTGACGACACTGTCCCTGTCGCAGAGGTCATGGCATCACATAAACTTGCATTTGTCGATAACGTCCCTCGAAAATGTGGAGATTTTGACTTTGATCCAACAATTCCTACGCAATTACAAAATGTATTTCTCAGTCATTCATTTGTTCTAAAATTTCCAGTTAAAATGACAATTATTTACCACCATCACATGACGTCATGCAGTCAAATCCAACAATAAATATTAACAGGTATGAGATCATCTTTAACTATTATACCTCCTGTCGTAAAATAAATATTTATTTATAAAATCTGTGTATATTATCCTCTGACTGATGCGCCACTCCCAAAAACAATGATAAGAAGACGGTTGAAGTAACTTTGCCCAAAGACAGCTCAAGTTAAGCTCCCAAGATTGAAAATGTGGATCATTAACATTATCAAAACTATTATTCACAAGTAGAACTTGATACTTATACGTATTTCTTGGCCTTATCAAAACTATTCAAAACTGCTCAGTGAAAAGGAGTATCAAAATTCCACTTTATAAATGCATAAATAAATAACGAATAATAATAATTTGCAAATCACTCTCGCTCTTTTAGACCGACCTTCGCTATCGGCTCAAGTTCAAGTGAAGTCGGTGGTGACAAATGACGATGCAGCCAAAGGGGCTATTTGATTCAGAAATTCGATTCGATGGAATTTAGTAGAAATTTCGATAACCGATATTTTTAGATAAGCATGGGTGATGAGATAAGGCTGTGTTTGATTGATGCGAGTAATATGTGCTAATTTATGTTGGGGAAATTATTTAACAGGCAGGTAAAAGCAGGTATAGGTGTTGAGATTGGGAAAGTGAAATTCTCCCACAGTTTATTTTAGCGAAAATCTTCCTTTATATTGTGGATTATTGGTTAAAAGTTAATGAATTTTACAATATTACAAGTGTTGATGTACAGTCCTTCAACATAATTTTGAGGACTGAATTCATAATGGGGCTCATGATTACGAATTAATTACAAATGCATTAGTCCATGAAATTTTTCAGAATTTTCAGAAATACTGATTTTGCATATACATACAAAATTGAAATTCTTCCCATATTCATCTAACTATTAGTAGTAAAAGTAATTAAGTCACATCATTATTATGCACCTAGAAATTAGAGTTATATTTATCCTTGAGATAAACACTTTCTTTTTGTATAACACAAGAAAAAGAACTATTTCCTTGCTCTGACCTTCTCATGCCCTTGCCCCTTGTCCTATTCAAACTCATCGTCTCTAACTAGCACTATTACTAAGAGTAAACTAGTCTTTAGCGGTGACACTGAATCTTTATAACAACGTTACACAATGCACACACACAACACACATGGCGTCAATGAATGAATACCCTTCAGAGAGATAGAGAGCAGAGAATGAAGTCATTTTCCGCTCTATGAATACCATTCATCCATTCAGTCCGGACCGGAAACCTGCTTTCTCCCAGTAGCACTGACGTCAATCAAGAAGACGGGAATGAAAGCAGAGAGAAAATTGGAAAGTTAAATTAAATCGTGGACACAACAAGCTCGTTGCAATTGGTCTCGTTTCGTTTCGTTTCGGCAAAGGGCATGAGGGGGATTTGTTGTTCGAGGACTAAAAGATTTGCTGTTGTTTCACTACCTTTGTCTCCACGCGTTCTGCCTTTTTCGCTAATGGAAATGAACTAACGTGATGCTGGTGGGCAGTCATTCAGGTTAATACGGCTTCGGTGAAGATGGAAATAGATCCTTCTTTCTCTTATGTGTACAAAATATATCAAATTTTTGATGCACTGTTTTGTGTACCCCTCATTCTAAGACAATTTTATAATTTATAGGTAAAATTTTATTTTATAATCTTGTCCAACTTTTCTTGAAGGTTGAGGTTTACCCATGAATTCAATATGTTAAAACAAACATATACATTGACGCACATTGATTTGATATTCATCTCAATTCTGTACATATCTAGTTGGTCGTCTTCTTTGTCATTCAAAATACAATTCAACTTCAAAACTTTAACCCACCACTTCAAAAATCCCATTACTTTCCATGTTTGCTTAACCATTGTAGGTGGACTAACAATTCTAATGTATTTCTCAGAATGAAAACCAAGACGGACAATGGCTTCGTGACAATGTACATACATATATTTCTATTCAAGGCGGTATTTTTCATGCCACTGTCAGTCACACATAGACAGAACTTATACGAAAGAAATAAGTAAATACTTTTCCCATCAAAGCAGAATAAACAAGGCCCGAGAGAGATAGCAGACTCGGGACAATATGCAATTGTGAAAAGAAACGCTATCTCTGGTGGGTCAATTTTGTTGTTGTAACGTGACACATACATGGAGAGAGAATCTAAGAGCTCTCTATACTGTCAAAGTCGTACAGAAAAACAACAAGTTGCATATATATACTTTCTCCCCGTTGAAAAAACGTCGTGGGCGAAAGGAGGAGAGATTGAGTGACACTTTGACAGAAGATGTAACGCGATAAGCAAGTTGGGGGAAAATTGTTAGAAATTATATACATGGAGAAAGCTAGGCAGAAAATTCTGTGAATATCTAAACACGATCTGCACAAAGTTGTTTTTGTTGATCAAATCATGTAATTATTCATCATCACGACTGAACTGAACATGTAATATTCACTGTTCATCTCTTATCAACTAGTACAATTAGTCACTCATTCCTACCAAATTATACTAAATTTCGCAACTCTATCATTCCGGAGTCAATACAGAAGAAAAAACATTTACATGATCCGAATGCAAATAACCTATTCCAAAAGTCACTAGAGAGAGATACATACATAACATGTAATGGTACATATTGGTGACTATACGACGTGGAAAAAGTGGTTAAGCACTCTAGAGCAGAGACAAATTGAATTACCCATCTCAGACTGGAAATGTATGGTGAAAGACGCACAAGAAGAGTTAGTTGACTTTATCCTTCCCGAGTATTGCGGAGTATGCAAACTCACTTACTTACTACTTGAGTTGAGAATGAGACGCTTCATCCATTCAACAAACAGCAAAGTTGAGAATTTCCTGCAATATGGTATCATTCTTTAAAGATTTGGGAAGAAGGAGAGACTGCGGCAGAGCCAGTGACTCTACTTATTTGTGTTAAGCTGAGGAGAGAGAAAGTTGAAGATGAAGCTAGGCTGGATTTCTAAGGGAAAGTATCGTATCTGTATTCAGGAAGTAGGGATTATGTGATCATGAGGAAGGCAAAGTTTAGCATATACTTACGACACATGTATTATTGCTGTTATTTACTTCATATTCATTATTACCATGCAAAACTAATAGGTGTATGCATATTATTATCTTATGCGCATTGAATGGAAATTCACGGAAATGTAGAAATCCAACAATACGCCGCATAATGAAACCACTATTGATTGAAAATTGTTATTGTCCTGTTTATGTATGCATGTAGTTATGGATGACGATAGTGGTGGTGGTGGTGGTAGGTAATTATGCTTAGAACAAACTAAAGGATTATGGACAAAGGAAACCAATTCGACTGGAACTCTGGTCTCCCATTATGTATGGAAGAGAACAATGTGAGTGAATAGCAATATACATGGAATTGTACTCTCACATTGTGACAATCTTTTCATCATCTTAGGCCTTATTATGAAAAGTCAGCCACGTGTGAAAGCACCCAACCCACAAGGTTGTGCAAGGTGACTTTTATTGATTAGGACATAGATAAGAAAGAATATGGTCATAGTTGTAAAACTTATCTTGCGCTTTCCCCTATGAGGACATTATCCAAGAGATTATCTATTTATCTTACTCTTCTTACATAACACTGTGGGTGCCTGCTGCCCATTCAATAAATAAAATATGGTCCCCCCTCATAAACCGAACTCTGCTGAAAAATTTATTTGCAAGATCAATAGTGCGAAGAATTTGTTAAAAGGGGCTCTACGTCATTTTCAAAATCCGATACATACTTGTTTCATTATTAACGTGCAAAAATACATACTGCAGAAAGATCGCAACATATTGTGGCACAGCAGCAGCCAGTGGGACCAGTAGCTGGTCGTGGTGTGAATATTGCATGTATTCCTCTACGACCACAGCCTTGTCGGCTGCTGGTTTAGTTCTCTCTTGACTTTCACCAGAGAAAGGAGAAAGCTCCTGAAAACGTATAGAATACATAGTCGTCGTGTGAGGAGGATAAACTGCATATTGCTTCCAGTACAAGCTGCTTTTACGACATAGCAGAAGTAGATACGAGGAAGAAAGTTAATACTTTTTTTACAATTTCCACTTTTATCTCTTTGGTCACTTACATACTTCTTGGACATCACAATTCTCAAGGTTAGTGGAATCTTTCTGCATTGCTAACTTTTCGCAATAACTGGTCTCACTTTGCTCAAAAAATCTTTGATATTGGACCTGTAACCCGGAAAGAAATGGTTATTTTTCAAAGAACGAAATTGTATGTGCATGGTTTCTGGTTCGAGTAGAGGAACATTCCGGTAGAAGGAAAAAGAAACGTTTCAGCAATTATTTTTTTTTCAAGCATCAGTCAACAAGGGAAAGGTTGCCTTCGTGGTTTTTGTAGGTACTTACTTTGAAGGGTATATAAATACATATCCTTTTTCGGTGGGGTTGTTTCACTGCATACGAATTTTCTGTCTACTGTAAACACAAAGGGAAAGGGACCTCAAAGGAAAAAGTGAGATCAAACGGGGCGATATATGCATGTAAAGTTTGTTGTGAAACTTTATCATGTTGCGATGCTGATTGCTTTCACTCAGATATTTAGTAGTATATTCATAAATCTGAGGATATTTTACTATACAAATTTCATTTCTCTCAACCAATTAAATTTTATGTTTTCCTCGTGTTACAGATAACGATTAATGATGCAACGTTTCTTAGCGTTTGGTTTGGCATTTACTTTTTCAATCGTGGTGGTGCTGGGAGCTCCGGCAATTCAAAAACAGCAGCAGCAGCCGGCCGAAAATCCAGTAGAAACGCATCATACCAGGATTTTTGGTAAGTCTTGGATCGTATTCGTGTCAAGATTTGGTATTGTGTAAGTAAGCATCCTGCTTCATAAAGTTTTAAAACGCAAGGTAATAAATCCGATGGAATCGTGCGATAATGAAAAAGTTGTGAAAGTATGGTCTCACCAAATTGAAGGGATTTTTTGCAATGAAAAGCAGAGAAAAACTTTGTACATAAATAATCATGACACCAGCAGCATGTAAATTATTACGTCAATCATTGAACCCTCCGAGATAATACAACCCCAGATTCCCCGTTGAGCTTGAAAATCATTATGATTACGTCAAGCTTAATATTTGACATTGAATTTGATTTGATTTGTTGGGAACTCGTATGTTTTCTGGTTTTGACTTGCCTACGGAGTTTAGTTTAATACTTTGATGCATGATTCTGAAACTACCACCACCAAACAAATTCTGGATCATTTACCGAAATGACAAAATTTAAGGGGTATTAATGGTAAAAACTGGACCATTTGTTACCATCAGTGTCCAGTTTAGGACTGAATTATTGACAATACGCCAATTCAAATAAAGAATTAATAGTAATTCAGAAAGTGTTACTTTCATTTTTTGCATGAAAGAAAAGCGGGGAAAAAAGAGGGGCAGACGAAATGGTCTCACTGGGAGAAGATGCAGATGGATGGGTTGGTTTAGCTGGGAAAGCAGGGGACCGGAGAAAGCGAGATGTGGATGATTATTCTCCATTTCATTTTCTCATCCGATGCAATTGGTCTCGAGGGGTTTCTGTTTCTCTAACTTATTCCATGCAAAAGTCTGACATTCAAAGAACTGGAATAGAACTACAACGATATTGGTTAATAGTAAGATTGCTGTATCAATTCGGGATGTTTTTTGTGTGTACAAGGACCAGCTCTCATTTCTAGATGTAGGTACTTACATGAAATAAAGAAGCTTTTGATAAAATGTCACTTCTGAGTAATTCAATCCAACGGGAAGCAAAAGAAATGAACAGAACGTGTAATTTTTGTTGAATGATGTACCTGATTTGTTGACTTCATGTCACTCAAAATAGAATTTCTTGGTAGGTCTTTGTCCAGAGTTATAGAAAGAAAAATGTGCTTATCAATCAGCACGTTATTATATTTATTTTCGTGTTTTAGATTGTTCCAATTCTAATTTTGGAAATGAGACGCAATTTGTGTATAGTTGTGTGCTGAAATGACTTCGAGCATGTACGAGTGCTCGTGTATGTATGTATGCACAATATAGTCGTAAAAGATAAGATGTATAAATTTAATAAATAAATATGTTGGGTTTCATCTCCAGAAAACCAGGCAATCTTATCTCCTTCCAAATCGTTGATATGTATGTATATTTACATATTTGAGAAACCAATATTTTATATTCGGGCCTGCTCTGTTAGAATTTCAACATCAAACATCATTCGTATATGTATTTGGTACCCTTCGTGTCATGGAGTGAATTATTATTAACTGCCCACCACTTTCTTATCGGTAGACTTCCATCTCAAATTTATTTATGTATATATTCACTAAAACCCAGGAGGCATAAAATTTTTTGCCTGTGAACAAACCCACATGCAAATAAAAGTCTAAATAAAACAAACTTATTTTGTAGGCCACGTGCATTAAATTGACGCTCAAAGGTTAATAAAAAACATGAAATACAAAAATTGAAAGTAAGTATTATTTTTTGGCGTGAAATTACGCTTTACGTCCCATATTTCGTAAAAACGATAAGTCGGAATTTCCTGTTTTTCTGCAAAATTTGGGTAAAATTTGTATCAAGTTTACCACATCGATTTAGTATTGACCTGTATGACCTCTAGAAATTAAATTATAAAAACATCCGGCCAGAAATCATCAGCTCTAAACTATGCAGTCTGCTCTATCTACGAGTCACTTGGAATGAGAGTCAGCCCCACTTTCTCAAATGACTTTCTTTCAATCTTTCACTTCTGGTATTCCGAGGCCACCCTGCTTACAATGGAGTTCATGTTTGCTCTCAAGAATAATGGTTCAAGGATGCGGAAAATGCTTCCAGAATACATTAACCAACGAGGAGAGCAAGTGTCTTGACAAAATATTCGCTTTTATTCTCTGCTAAATACTACATAAAAAGTACTCTGCCTTATTTATTGAGCATCTTTAAAGAGAAGAGTTGACACTAGAATCGACTTCAAGCAGACTCTTATCACCACTTTCTCCCTTCATTATTTAAGTAATTAAGCTCTCAGGACTTGTAGTCGGCCGAGGGAAGTAAGTAATTGAATTAATTGTGACATTAACTATCGGGAACTAGTCAGCACTTTCATCAGGCTCGAAATTTCCTAGCTGCTGTCAAAATATTCTATGAACGTTCGATAGTAAATGTTTACTAAATATGTAATTCCGTGTTATTAAGGAATGAATCTATATTATTCCCATGTCGTTAGTGATTTCGCAATTTTCGCGAAATTTCGCATGAACGAGCATTTGCACCAGGTGGTCATTTACCATCAGCACTCCCCTGCTTTGCAAATTAACGTAGGTAAATTGGCCTAGAGAGAGTCAGGTAGGATTATGTAGTTATATAATAATTCATCTAATGGCAAAGTTGCATGGCAAGGCAGTTGTTCCAGTTGTTCCGGCCGAAATCACGCAAACGGGGAGGAACTAAATATTTATTACAAGGTAGCAAAGGTGTATAAGAACAGAAAATAGCAATATTTGTGTATTTATCCACCGAAAGATGAATTTGAACTTATGAATGGAAGCTGCTTGCTTAGAGACTTCGAATCTTGAGATAGAAATGCACTCAGGCAAAATGATGTCTCAAAGTGGCGTGGTGAAAGTGCAGACATTTTCGATTTAATTTACTTTGCACAGTGGTCCATGTAGTAATGACCGTTAAATTTTGATGGTTCAATTTCCACCATGGAGAAATTGCTCATGGGCATTTTATGGCTATTATGAATATAAGGTTGGCTAATTTTGATGATATATAGGTATAAGAATCTTACGTAAATATATCGTAATATATTTATTCAACAACATTTCTCCAGAATATGACCACCATTCTCAGAATTTGTATCACAAATAATTGAGATCACATTTCCAAAACAGATTGCAACTTTGCGTCAGTCTGCTGACTGACTGAACAGCCAAAAGTGAATTGATACCGGCATTGGCTACGTGCGTCAATTATTTTACTAATTGTTTACAACAAACATTTCTGTATTTATATAAATAGCACAAAACACTCTCACTCATAAGCTCTCCTGACACGCCTGACCTAAATTAGATCCGACATTGAATTGTTTTCAGACTGATGGCTAAAAAGTGAGTAAACAACAATAAAGTTTGTCGTCAGAGATGAATTAGGATTCATGAACGTCATCCCAGCATTTTAATTACTTTTCGCATATGTACAGGAAAAATAATAACAATTCGCGAAAGTGTCTCCGTTAATGGAGAAAGTAATTAAATAAGACTCCTGGAAAACGAGTTGTATGCAAATTCGCAATAATAATAGAACACAAGATGTCGCAGTTTGCATATATGAACGTAATCGCTGTAATTATTTTTCTAGGTAATAAAAATGTGAGGATCACGGCTGATGGTGGCGCAGAAAATGACGCAGATGAAGAGGTGAGTGCCCCGTTGGGTTGCTATCCGAGATAATGATTGATTGATGTGTTACGACACTTGCGGCTGGTTTATCGGGGAAAGTTGCTATTTAGTTGGTAACTTATTAGTTAGTACACATATGTAACTCTCCAGATGTGTTGGCTTTGTTGGTACTGCGGCTTTTTTTTCATATGATACTTTATTTTCTATCATGTAATCGTAATCTATTATCTGCTGCATCCATCTAACAAATTAAATCGCAAGTCTCAAATCCCCCAAATGCAATTCATTCATAAGGAATTGCATAAAACTATGTAAGACTTTCTGAATCACGTCGAGCGAATAAATCTCACCGTTTGCACCACTTTTTTTCTTCAATTACTTTTAGAATTCTGCAATTTATGAGACCAATTTCCTCTCAGAAATGTTTCTAAACTCACAAAAACTTGTTGCATTCACGTATTCGAAAGGTGAGTACGTGACGGATGAATGGTATTATACTGGAAGAGTCAGACTTTGACGTTATGTAAGCGAGAAGGTAATAATGTGAACCCACATAAAGCAGAGTATCATCAATCACAAGAAAGTTGAGAAAGAACGAGTCAGTTATTCAGTGATCCAATTCAATGGAACCAGTTGACAATACGATTACATAACTCATAAATTTACGTATTTTACATACATTCCTACCCAAATTCCTTTCATGACAAAATTCCAGCCAACATCACACTCCTTTAATTAAGCAAAGTGAAAATATTTGTATGACGATAAGGTGAAATATGTTGTCAAATTTTGTGTTAATTTAACAGGAGGAAGAATTGGAGTTGGAGAATTTGAAGGGTCATAAAGCAGTGTCGGCCGCTGCTAAAGACGCGACAACGACAAGTACGCAGGCATCGGTGAACCAGAAAAGGCCAGGTAAAACACTCCTACTAAATTTCACCTCTGTCATCAGAATCTCATTTCAATTCCATCCTTTCTTTTGGTGCCATTAACCAAATTACATTTTCATTCACGAAAAACGAGCCTTCTATTATGTCGCATACGATGATATTGATTGATAGGGTGGACTAAAAGTTGGCAATTTTGTACTGCAGAAAGTTGCCAGGAATAAACGTAATCTTGCAAATTGCGTCATCAAGGAGAAAAGTGAGACGTAGATTTTATCCGTACACGTATGCATTTTTTACCCTATGGTAAACTTTAAAATTCACTTTGTGCATAAATTTTATGCTACCTTGCTTGACTGTACATTTTGTTATGTATGTGGATGTCCTTAGAGTGAAATATTGAGGCAACATGTGGCTAAAAATAGAAAAGAGATCGAGTTATCCAATTTACAAATGGATGTCAAATGCAATGCAGAAAATGCAAATATGACATGGACAAAGTAAACATCAAAGGACTAGGTGGCCGCTCAGGTGGGCGTAGATGTGTCAAGTTTTGTTAGGAAAATGTCGCTTTTTATTCTTACTATTCTGCCTTTGAGTGCATGACTCTTGGCTTTTCATTGAGTTATTAAACAGACTTATGTACTTACGCAATTGTCATGTCCGCATGTCTCACGACTGTCAACTCTACCTGATTGACTTGAAATTTTAGACATGTTTGTAGCACACATATTTAGGAACCAAGGTGAATATGCATATTGGGGACCAGTCGGGATCATATTCATCGTGTGATTCGTTGGTTCAGAATATTCGGAATGAGAAAGCTGAAATTTGACAAGCAGGGGATTTAACAGTATAAAGTGAAATCATGAACAGATGAAAATAACTGAAAACCGACTCGGGCATAATGCGTAGGTTTTGTGTCTTTAGCGTTATGTCATCATCACAAACAATTAGTTAATTGGGGATAAAAATAGAGATTCATTTTTCGTATAAGAAATTGTCCCTGACCAAACTTTCTATTTGCAGAAAACGAGGAAAAACCGGCCATCAGTGACAACGCAAACTCATTAAAGTTTCCGCACCACAACCCGGGTGGATTTGACGAGTCGCTCTTTGCCAAGAAAAGTGGACACAATCAGGCTCAAGGTTCACCCATCACGGATCAAAATCGACTACTTGGGAGACTTTTGGGAGACACGTCCGGTGGTGAACATGATCGTTTCAATCTCCAACAAACGGATTACACACCGCAGGACATTGCCGGTAATTTCTAAATTACTTAAAATTAGAAATTACTTAAATTACTTAAATACTTAAATTACTTAAAATATTTTTAGATCATGTAATAATAATAACATCTTAATAATAATAGAAATATTTAATATTGCAGAGTACATCTTTTGGACGGGAGATGAACGCGGGGTGGCAGCTGCGATCGGAGACTTTCTCCAAGAAGGATTCGTAAGTTGATACGATCCGTTGAGACGAATTGCTTCCTCGCAGGTGTCGAAAACCATCAGTTTATAAATAGGCTGCTTCTCAGATTAATACCTTATCAGAATTTCGTTAATTAATTTTGAAATTAAATTCGATCGTTCAAGTTGAACTACGTCATTGGTTAAGTTAACATGTAGTTTTAGCATTTCTCTAAGCAATTTTGATCATGTGATCTATCAAGTAGAAAATCGTTAGAGTATTCTTCAACTCAGGATATGATGCATGCATATGTATAAACTTTCTCCCATTACGCGTGCCACTAATTGCGCTACAAAATACATACTCCTTTGCTAATAAAATGCACCGAACTGCGTCGTACTTTGTATTCTATCTATTGTACATACACCCATCGAATGAAAAGGGTTGCATACTATTTGCAAAAATCCCCACTAAAAAGTTTTTTATGATTGCAATGTCCACATTCTGTTATTATCTATGTACAAATGCATACATACCAAATTTCGCAAGAATAATAACGACCACAAACACTATTAATATTTGAAATTGCGAAATAATGCGAAACTTGGTAGAGAGGAGAAGGACAACTGGAAATGGGATTGGAATGGAATTGCCATCCCCAGACAGGCCGAGTGAGGGATTAGGGTCACCTTTAACACTAATTACTAATTCTCTCTTCATATCTCGCAAAACAGAACCTCAGTAATGCCCGGCCTGGTCGGACTTTGGTCGTAGTTTAGTTTAATAATGGAGATTCGATTTGGAGTGTGTGCTCAATTGAGAGGAAAGTAAAGAAAGAAAAAAAAGACATTTTATCCCCACGCAGTAAAAGTACTTTCATTTTAGTACTTACTTAGCTTTGGCTTTCTTTTGAGATATAAAGTGGGACAAAGTAAAGTAAACTGGCTCTGCTACATATTTCAGTGGCAAGTGGAGTAATGTCTATGTATGTACATACACAGGCAGTAATGTAATGGCCACTATAGGCTCCCCAACAACAAGTGTATATTTAGAAAGTTAGTTTATGTATGTATGCAGTCAAAACCCAGCGAAGCAGTTTTGATATGAATGACGTAAATGTAAAATGGATAGGTCGACATAAATAACAAGTTCACGGCGAGATTGCATCGCTTGCTTGCTTGTATAATCGCTGGTTTTGCTTAAGTTTCTCATGCACAAACTCGTGGGGTTTATGTATGCATCTCGGTTTCTGGTTCGTAATGAAATACTGTTAGCTTTTTACGTACAATGGTTTGCTTGCATAATCTCAAGCGGGTCGGCTTTCTCCTGAAAATTATTCATGTAAAATTCCTTCTCATATTTATTTCTACATACATTCTAAACCTTCTTTTCTTCTTTTATTTCTCCAAATCTCAGGTGAGTCGAGAGGATGCAGTCAGATTTTTGGAGGATGTCAAACACGAATTAAACGCCATACGGGCCAGATATACGACGTCCTTGGCTCAAGTTCAACCACTACTTCATGAGCAACAAGCTTCACCACCAATGCTTCCAAACTTTAATCTGGTAAGAAAGAAATGCGAGGAAATTGGAGAAACTTGAAGGTTATCGTCTGACAAAGGATGACAAATTAGTTGACCTTTCCATTTAAATTGCTTTCTATTTACTTATTTACCACTTAACGACACTTATTCTGAAGTCGTACATATGTTACACATGTAATATTATTTATTTGCAGGATGGGTACAAAGGTTACGCAGCAGGGGAATCACAATTTTACCCGAAGAGAGACAGCACACCGCAATTTCCTCTGCCGGAAATCATGAACGACAGACAGGCACAAGCACTACAATTATATCCAGGACGAGGAGGAGGAGGTCTGTCGGGACCCAATTCGAATCTCGTGTCAGTGGAAGAATTGGATTATGACGAGATTGCAGACAAACTCAGAACGGTGGATGCCAAGCTGCGAGAATATGCTCTGAAAGACGTTATCTATCAAATTGGCAAGAATCTATTTGCTGAAAGTCTCAAGAACTCACCTGGACAGTCGACACAAAAGTTTTCCGAATTCATTGAAACACAGTCGGCGAGTGGAAGGATTCCGAAGGATCTGGAGAAGGATGTTTTGGGTATGAAAAGCTAGAGAGGAGAGGAGATACATATTTATTATTTATTGCCATGTTTAATAGTAATAAGTGGCTATAAATTATATACAGATGTGCTGGTTGGTGCTTTCGTGGACGCGGTGGATGACCGTGGGGTGCAGCAGGGAGAATTGGAACATCAGCTTCAAGAACACAGACAAAATTCACCACCGAAACACGTTACAAACAAACTGGCTTCGTCGTCGGTGACGCCAACTGGTGGGATTCAGGGAAAGATTCATGGAAACATTTAAAATATTACGTGAAGATTGAGATTTTTATTCGTTCGTTTAATAAAAATTGTTTTGGTAATTTATTTTTATTGTGAGCTTGTATAAGGAAAGTCCAGTTTGAACTTTCTTATGTTAATTCATGTGCATACATTTTTGCTTAAACAATAGGTTGTTAAAGTGTCAAGATCTTACATATGTACTATTTTGGAATTTTCATAAATTTTCTTTTTATTAAATATATAGTTACATATTTATGTAAATTAGTTGTTGATTCTATATACTCCAAGTTGTTATTAATTTCTTGACTGAAAATAATTTAAGAGTTAAGGAGTTTAAATGTACCAAATTCTGTAACTGAATGAATTCGTTTAAATTACATACGTATGTACAATGTTGGTATAGGTGAAAGCACAATGAAGAATCTTTAAATGATTTAAAATTACCTCACAAAATTATATATGTATTGATATGAAGACTTTTTGGGAGAAATTACAATACGGATTTACGGATTTAGCATTCCATTAAATTGTTACATTGTTGTAATAGCTGTATTGAAATTGGTTGATATAACAAGACTTTGCAAGTATTGCACAAAAACAGGAACTCAGATTTATGTGGAATGATGTGGATCATCAGTGAATTTCTCATTGATTTCCCTTATTAGAAAAGTCACAAAATAAACTTACAATGGTTATGAAAAGGCTGTGAATGTGATATATTTGCATAGTTAACGTATTTAGAATTGTATTTCAGATAGTTTTAAATTCTATTGAGTATTATGGTAGGCAGTATTCTCATTTTTTGACCTTATTTCAGTATGAGCTTTGAATGATATTTTCCTTTTAAAAGATATTCGAAATCTGAAATAATTTGCATTTTGAAAATTGTAAAGTTTATTCTCCATTTTATTTTTGTCATTTTATAGTCATAACCACTTTTTTGTGATCCAAATTGAATTTCCTGAATACTTTAATAAAAAATATTTTGTTGGTAATCAGTGACTTCTATAAAAACATAATTTTAATTTTCACCAATTTGTGTAATTTTAATGTATCGATGCAATTTAAATAGGATCATGTGATTTTGATTGTTATTTCGACGCTTAACCAGCTAAACAACATCGCCCTACCATCAACCATATTCAATCATGCAAATACAAGGCAAACTAAGGATAATCATTGAAATGATCTATATACGATCAATATAACAAAATTTGTGTTATATTATCAGCACATATCTATGTATGTATTCTGTACACACTGAACAAACTCTGCCATTCGCCTCAAGAATATGGATTTTTCATCATTAATTTCAGATTGGGTTTAATCAGGCTAAATTCCTTTACAAAATGATTTCCTTCAATAATCATTATCTTTATGAGACAGTACGTTCTATACACATTTGCGTCATGACTTCACATCATCGAATTAAGTATAAAATCATTCTCGAATTATATATAAGAATCCTTATTATTTAAGCAACGCAACGAAGAAAAATCTAAAATTCACAGATTCCATTCTGACTCCCAATTTTACATAGATATGTACCTTAGATAGGCATTCATGTGCTTTTTCACATAAGTATTTAACAGTACTCGTGCTACACGACGTTCAACGTTTAATTTGTTTTAGTTATACTAAAAGAATGTATACTTGTACACGAGAATCGATTACATGTCGTAAAACTCGTAATTATTGAAAATTAATTAGTTCCCTTTACTCCCAATATGTTTAAGACAGTTTAATTAAGTTCAACTTTATTTCAAAATGGATGGATTACAACGCCCTTCAAATTAATGACCCGTTCAATACGGAACACAACAGAAGAAATTGAGAAGATTGAATTTTTCGTGAAATTGAGAGGAATCAGGAAACATTAGTTTCATTCCTTTCAACCAGACGAGGCTTCACGTGGATTATTTATTCAGCACTGTGTACCATTTCTAGGCTCATTTTAACTCAGGAGAAGATCAATAATTGCAAAATTTTATATGCATATGTATGAATATACTGGTTAATTTTACATTTGGAAAAATAAGGTACACATAAAATGAATGGCAAACCTGAAATGAAACTGCATTAATTTTAGTGCCAGAAACACTTAGGATAAATATTTACATATTTACATCTTTCCTTAGCATATTTACATTCTGCAAAAAGCAGATGATAATTCATCCTCTCCACCCGTGAATATCTGCTCTGGTAGTTTTTTGGCCAGAAATTTTAATTCACCTTTTAAAGCACGTATTTATTTTACTTATTCCACTTTTATCATTTATTATTTTTACTTGGAACTTTACTTATATATTTCCTGGTACGTATCTACATACGTGCTCCTCATTTTATTGGCCTTCATCCCATCACATTATCGTCATGAATTAAACATGAAACGCATAAATGTAATGATATGGATACTTGTCCAATTTCTGAGGAGGAAAGACCCTCTACATGCCCCTCTCAGATCTCGATGCCCTTTGGATATTTTGTAGTGTCCCATGAATGTACAACAACCCTGAAGTGGTTTGATGCCATGGCCACATTTGCGCCCGCCACACCCACTCAAAGGTGCCCAAAAATCGCTTTCACTCTAGCTTTCAACCATTTAAAACCACGCCAAAAATCCAATTTTACTCCGATTTTGAAATTTCTTTCACCATTATGCTCCTAGATAGTTTCTCTCTTATGTCCAATATCAAACTCAACTTTATGAAATTTTTAGTATTTTTAAAATTTAAAATTCTGAATGAGCATTGTTGTAGTAATCAACAAAGCAAATTATTTCTGCGAAATAATCATCGAACAAGTTGAGTTTGATGTTGGACATAAGAGAGCAACTATCTAGGAGCATAATGGTGAAAGAAATTTCAAAATCGGAGTAAAATTGGATTTTTGGCGTGGTTTTGAATGGTTGAAAGCTAGAGTGAAAGCGATTTTTGGGCACCTTTGAGTGGGTGTGGCGGGCGCAAATGTGGCCATGGCATCAAACCACTTCAGGGTTGTTGTACATTCATGGGACACTACAAAATATCCAAAGGGCATCGAGATCTGAGAGGGGCATGTAGAGGGTCTTTCCTCCTGAGTAGGGAACGATCCAACTTTCTCTTCCTCTCCCTCTCCCGTCGTCACAAGAAGACAATATGCACACACATCTGGAATATCAAAGAATAATCAAGTTTGACATAAAATTCAGGACGAGCATTCACCACGTTGGATAAGCATAAGCTCAAGCGGGGTGTAGTTCTGCGGAAAAAAATATGTGCTGCTGCTGAGGCGATGGACAGGAAGCTGGGGATCAACGGGAAATGAATAAGTAATTTTTTCCCTGTAAAGTCGTCGTGGTTGTCGCCATCGTCGACAAAGTTGAACGTTACGGGAAGAAAATGTATGGAATTGTGCATACTTAAGCAATCCGTCGTGCCAAAAGGAGGTTATTATTTTGCATTGCTTTCTTTCTTTTCTTGGCAGGATATTGCCCAACACGACTTCAATCAGGGTGTACAAATATGTAGGCGCTATATACACGGATTGGCACCCACTTGCTCAATCTGTACGTATGTATGAAAAGATGGAATGATTACTACTTGGAAGGAATTATATTATGAGAATCCGATTTGTCTGAATGGAACATGGCTCACGAATAATGGGGAAAAATCCACTCTACGCTAAAATGCTGACGTATATACGATATATTTATTTAGGAAAGGAACTCAACCTGACAGGCAATCTCCTTGTCTCTCTTTTCACTAAATTTTCCTACTTCCTTTTGGAGGAACACGCATTGTTATATAAGAAAAAAAATAATTCGTACACCGGTCGTCTCCTTGAAGTAAGTGCATTAAATAAATGGAAGTCGGCGAAGAAGGAAAAAATAAGGAAGAAATGAACTTTACTGATGGAAAATTCATTGTCATCTTCACTTAGCAGGTTCAAATCTGACTGGTTGAGGCGAGCTTACGCTAATGTAGTCTGACTGCTCAACTTACTAATTTACGAGCAGAAGAAACAGAAGAATCTGGTGAAAATGGAGAAAGTGCGAGGAAAGTCGGGGAAGGAAGTTGTAAGAAAAAGTCAACTTTCACCACCGACCAGACCAGACCAGAAGTAAGCAACACCAACATCATGCACCACCACGACCATCACTACAACCCTGGAGTTTCGCCAGTGCTTTCTCCACCAAAGTGAAAGTAGAGAGGAGGAAAATGAGAAAGTTGGAGCTACAACTACCGGTGCAGCCAGTGGGGAAGATTCAGTCAGGATTTCACCCTTGGTGAGATCGCATTGAATACGACACGTGGTGATTTTATTTCCCATCTTCTCGACGTTGTTCTACTGCTTATTGAATTTTATATTTTATTATGCAAATATATTGTGGCAGTTTGAAAGCGAACCTGTAATTAAATCAGAGTTTGCGTGTATAAGTGATCATAAATAAGTGAATATCTGTCAGTCACGGGAATGTGAAATGTGAGGGGGTGGAGGGAGAGGATATAAAAACAATTTCAATAGAATTCGTTAAGATAGCAAAAAAAGAAAGTCGGAAATAAATCAAACGTTGCCGCATTTTTAAGTAAAAAAAATTGGTGTAGAAAAATGTAAGTAAATATATTTATGTTTCCTTAAATTCCTGTATCGGAAATTTGTCTAATTTTGTTACGTAATTTAAGGAATACACAATTATTCCTAATTTGTTGTCTATTTCATCCATTTGGTTTGACGGCTGGCTACTGTAATTAAATTAATCAAAACTCAATTAGCACTCTGTTACAGCATCCTCATCATCATCCATCCTCGGTTTTGTTGTTGTTACAAGATAAAGCAATTTCTATTCACCATTCAAATTCAAAGAAAACAATATTGTGATGAACGCAACCCTTGCTCGTCGACTATCAATTTGCTCCCTGGCTGGATATGCGATACAGTGGAAAGAATAGATTAGAATGGTGTGCTGCAATCATTCAAACGGAATAATTTGAGTGGAATTTGTTCACATTCATTTGGTTTCATTTGTTCCACTTCATCCCGTGTGTGTGTGTAAATATGTGTGTGGTAGTGGTTTTTGGTCGACTAGTCGGTCTTTGGACGGACGGCTCCAGTTGAGAATAAATAAATTGAGCAGTATATATACTCCAGCCAGACCTTTGAATTGTCTGTCTGTCTAGTGGTATAGGCGGAGCAATTCATTAATGCTGATTTAGCTAGCCTTCCAGTCTCTCTCCTCCAAAAGGCCAACCAACTGAACAGGCCAGATCTCGAGCAGGCAGGGTTAAATAAGTACAAGTTTCAAGTTGCTCCAAGGTTGGGATCAAAATCAGACCTATCTATTCTCACTAAATCCAATACCATTTATTTTATGCAGGACGAAGTGAATGAACGATTGGAAAGTATTGCAGGCGACACTTTCACTTTGTTTCGACTGTGTACATATTTTATCCGTATTTGGTTAGGGCTTCATTTGTAAATAACTGCTGTGGTTTTACGCAGGAAAAGTTTCAATATTAAGGTTTTGTTTAAACAATGGTTTGTATGTACATATGGAGCGCAATGAGACTTTCCTTTGTCGACTTGCTTTCTCGACGGCGGTGACAAGTGTCAAGGTCTCACTTGCAGACATATAGACACGAGTGACATGAATATTTCTCACCAGAATGAGATGTGTCTTCTGTTTTGGTGGATATATACGCGAAATTGGCTAAAGAAAGATGTATAGAAGAGTAATTTCATTAAGTTTCATCCCAACGTAATACTTAGAAGAGCACTAATAAAATCATCCAAGTGAATCATATGCATATTTACACGGCCTTATAGCAAATAGCGATAATACTACGAAAATATCCTTCGGCACATTTATTCATTTACTCCCTTTGACTTTATTCATTTGAATGCGCACTTACTTTCGTCGACTTCATTCTGATCACGATTTATGCCCCCATCCTCCATCCAACTGACTAAGTGACTGACGAACGAATGTCGCAAATTATTGCGGGAGGAGGAGTTAAATCTATTTTATGAGCCAAGTTCATAGACACAGAATTGAAAATGGGACTGGATTTTGGCATATAAAATAAAGGAACTGGCAGCCAGGGAGTCGATTTGCCGCATCTTCACTCAATCCAACTGTTAGTAGATAAAGTGGAGAAAGTCAATTCACCAATGTCAACACCAACCCAGTATCGTTCACTGGGTTGTAAAATATCTAATAAAAGTTAACCCCAACTTATATACATATGGACTTTGGTAGATAGATAAGTAACCCCGGAAGCTTTTTTGGTTGAACACACCCACAAAAGAAATAAGTAGATAGAAATAACCCGCAAAGTTGAGAGAAAAGTAATTTAATTGAGGAAAAAAAGTTTTGATTTGCCACAATAGTAAGTATTTTCCGCGGATGGTCTGCGTCGTCCAGCCAAACGGAGAAAGTAATAGAGAAAGTTACATCATAAATTAAACAAAGCGTTTTAACTGAGGAGCGTGCAGGAGGGATTGTTAGTTTCTCAAGTCACAAGACAAGTAACACGTGTCAAGCATTCGCTGCACAGAAAAAGATAAGACACGTTTATTAAATCTCATAAATTTTTAGCAAGGTTAACTACACTCATTTTTTTTAATACGGGCCGAGCGACTCTAAGAGCAGACTCGGTTGGCTGGTCACCCACGCTGGGGAAAATAAAATAAAAAATGCATAAGAGTTTAAGTAAAACTGATTTACATATTTTTCCAGTGAGAACAAACGAACACCGCCGCTTATTTTTCTTCTTCTTCTTCAGGGATACAAGCCGACCAAGATGATTACGTGCTCAAGTGCATCCCTAATTAAACTCTGTGTCGTGTTTGTGTTGAACATTTCTTTATTCACGACTGGAACTGCGCCCCCATTATTGTCGTCCAACAAGCGCCCAACAACAAGTCCGCAAGGGGACGAATCAGCGATCAAAACCAGCTCAACGACAGAATGGTCGACCACAATTGGCAGTTACGCCAGCAGAAGTAAGTCAACCCAAGTTTGACGGACTCATTTCCTCCTGTGCCGAATTAAACCGGGGTTTTTGTGGTCAATTTAACGAGAACATGCTGTATCGCATGACATTCAGACGGAGGGCGGATTATTATTTGAGGAGACTTTCTCCTCATCCAGCTAATAAAATGGATCAATGGAATTATTATTATTCTGGGTCGGGTGCAAGACCCTGCATATAGATGAAAACTTGTCGTTTCGCAATAATTTGTCCCCATTTAATGCGATGGTTCTCAAAATCAGGGACGATCGCTTTCCCTGTTTGATAAAGATAACGCGACATTACAACCGAAATAAAGTTTGGCTTTCTCTAATTCGAAAATCATGGCATTTCATTCCCCCGTAATGTGAATGAACAAGGCTGAAAATATCCTACCAACCCGGGCGGGCGTATGTATTATTAGCTAATTCGATGGTCATTTACTTTTATTTTATTCAACTCAACCATCCTCTCATCCAGTTAAATGGATCTTTAAATCTAAAGTGGTTGCCACCACGGAGGATCCTAAACTTTAAAAACAGAACGATACGAAAGCAACCTCACAGCAATTCTCAGAGGAGTAAAAATGTCAAAGTTTGTGCACAGGGAAAATAAATGTTGTCCACTTTCTCCATTGCTCTATTTAGTTTAATGCATGGAAGAAAACCGTACTAAAAACAAACAGTAGCACATGCATTCCACAATTTCATCCAAGCGACAGAAGAGTTGTTGATGGTTTTTATCTTTCCCCTTCCTGCTTTCACTCTCGGCTGTATGGACTTTTTTATCATTTATTTCATGAAGAAAAGTTGAGATGACTTTCACTTGAAAAGTTTCCCAGGACAGAAAAAATTGTTATTTGGCATTTGATATCTTTTCTCTTTTTTCCAACACTAGCAACTAAATAAATAAAAACTGGTGGTCTCAACTGCACTGGTCAGTTGCACTTTTCTCACACAATTGTGACATGCATGAGGGGTTGGGCCTTTTGGTAAAGACTAGTCAAGTGGAAAGGGACGACAAAATATGTGTTAAGTTGTAGAGTAATTAAAGGGCAACAAATAAGTAGTGGAGTGGAGATACATAGTAATTCTTCTAAATTATACCCATGTTAATAAAGGAAACATAAGGATGTGACAAGCATGGGTTAGTTAGTTATTCAACTTTGAAATTGTTAATTAAGCTTAATTACCATACTTCGTGACTCGTATTTCGGTTGTATCATCCCGTTCCCTGCGCACATGTTTCTCTTCTAAAGTTGCTTAAATATGAAGTATTAAAGGGAATAACGTCTTTCCCTCATCTGACATTTTTTATTTATATGTACGCAGCAGAATCCCCACCACCGCTACGAGTACCATCCTCGACAACAGTTTCTTCGCCAACCTCACATGTGAATGTGACAGGTGGTCGTCGTCCTAGCTCCGAAATTAAGCCAACGACGACGACTTTCTCCACAATCAAGGTTTATACTTTCTCTTTTTCCTCTTTGACCGAGTGCATGGACGAAATAATGGGCAACTTTCTCCCGTAATAATCTCGCCCACACCCGTAAACTCTATCCATAACCTGATTATAAGTCAAAGTAGGAGACAATAAGCGATTACCTACCTCCAAGTAAAAAATAATCACTAATAATTTTTTCCTCCCTTCTTTACAAAAGTTTTCCCTTGATTTACACACATAAATAGAGAAAATCTCAAAAATATGGTTCGTTAAGCAGAAGGCATGCTAAAAGCTAGCTAAAAGTGAAAACAATTTTCCCCCTTCCTCTCTCATCCTCGCTAATAAATAACTAAATAAATAGAGACCTTAAGTAAAGAGAGAGAGGAGAGAAAGTAGCTAACAAAACTTTCTCTCCTCGTTTTGAATGCATGATTTAATCATTAATGAAGTACATAAATGTGTTTGGTTCACAGCTCAGTACTTTATCATCATCTCTGTCGTCCACGGGTGGAGGCAGGAGTCGCCGAGTTGCAGAAAACCTCGGGGGGAGCACAACTTCTAGTAGTCTTTCAAAAAAGTTTGAAGATTTGCTCCCATTTTCCACATCACCACCACCACCCACCCATTCTCGCCTTCCTCACTCCTCCAAGAAGAGCGACCAGCCCATTATTGTGGAGGCTGTAAAGTCTTCTAAGATTTCTGAAGTTAGTGATATTATTGGTGCTACACGAGGACGTTCAAGTGATGGAGAAAGTGAACGTGCTTCGACGAATTATAGAGTTACATCTTCATCTTCATCTTCTTCTCATTCCGTCCTCGTCGATTATGTGGGTGAACTTTCTCCTCGAGTAACTTATTCAACAAGCTCATCAAAGTTGGAGACAGCAGATGGGGAACAATCTCACGAAGGAGGAGAAGAAGGTATGAATTAATTTGGTCTAATCCTTAATTCCTCTTTATTTGAATAACCTCCTACTCTTCAAATTGTTCAAATGCAAGTCTCGACCCTTTTAATGGGATGGATTAAAATGATGACATAACGAAAAGTTGTAAAGAAAATTTAGAAGATTGCATAATTAAATTCTGAAACTAGTTTAATTTGTTTTTCATTGGGGCGAGATTATAATAATCGCCAACTCAATTTTAGTTCTTCTTCTTGCTACTTCATCTCATTAAGGGAAGGATGAGGGATGAGAGGGCAGGCATAGTCTTACATATGTAAATTAAGATTTAAGCAAGTTTGTTGAAGCATGTTTACCGAGAAGAGGTTCATTTCAAGCTGAATTTTGTGCACGTACTCGGAACCACCTACTTATGATGTTACCACAGAAAGTAATTTATTTTACAAGTTGGAACCATTTGAAAGCCTGGAGCAAAATCAAAATTAGATTTTGTGGCCTATGTGTGTACATATAAATCTGTGCCTTAATACCTATACATATGCATAAAATGAGAAACATATCATTTGTCGGATCGCATTTTATACTCGAGAGATTTGCATTACACGATTTAGACTGACACTGACTATCTGAAGGTGAATGCATAAATCTCTAAACAGAAATCTCCCTAGACGAGATTGGGTTAAAATAATTGGTATTTAGCTTATAACTTTATACGCAAAAGAGATTTCATAATGTAAAGTCAAATCCTTAAGCCTTGATCGAAACTATTTTTTTAAAGAAATTCTGTCCGCCACGATGACGACGACGGCGGCGGCGGCGACGACGACTTCTACCACGACATCTCCTACTTCTTCTCTTTCTTCCCCGGAAATGCTAACATCCACAAAAATGGGAGACTTCCTCTCGACGAAGAGATCTCAAAAGGATGACAACACTATATCAACCGCAACATTTTCCACCGGAAACGCAATCATAACCACAGAAACTGAAACTGGTGGTAGTAGTGGGGGAGGAATGGAAGATCTATTTTCGGAGGACCAGATGATGATGATGGAATTTAACGATGATGCTTATTCCGCCGTGGACGAGGACGACGAGACTTTCTCCATTGGAATCATGTTTGATAAAGACTACTCTCCCGAGGAAATTGCAGAGTACATTTTTCTTACGGGAGATGAACGCGGGGTGGCGTCAACGATAAACGATCTGATCAATGATGGCTTAATGGTGAGTTGGTGGAGGTTGACTGATGTGTTTATGTCTTCATTTGTCCCCTGTATCGGGTCATCTTAGGCCATTATTTTCTATTATGTATCTCATATTTACCCCCTTTCAGTCAGTTTAGTCGATTATGTAACCCGTGTTTTTTTGGTTCATCAGAGTTGAGTCGGTTGAACACTTTTTTTCCATCCGAACCAAACCCGAAGGTTTCGGTTGAAAATCCGAAATCCATCCTAACCGAATTCGAATTTTTCGGTTGAAAAAAAAATTTTCAAACCGAACTGAATGATTCGGATTCGGATCGGATGGATACTTTATCCAAAAGTCAGATAACCGACTCAACTCTGGTTTCAATACATGTTATCTATTTCCTGGTAAAAAAAATACTCGTAAATAAGATTTTAATATTGTTTTTCTTTCTGAAATTGCAGTTGAGCAGAACGGAGACGATAAAATTTTTAGAATCCGTAAAAGCGCACTTAACGGATTTGAGAAGTCGGTATCAAGAGTTTTTAATAGTATCGGAGGACGCAGAGGACAGTGGTGGAGGTGAATCTCCAAGTGTTGGTGTAACTGGTGGAGATGATAATAATGGTGAAAGTGGAGACTCTGTGACTTCTTCTACGACCAATATTCCTACCTGATGGAGGTTATCTCTGACTTCGAGTGCACCTGAGTGGAACGGAAGAAAAAGAGAGTAGGCGGATGAAAAGGAGAGGAAAAAACAATAAAAATCGTGAGACGATCAGACGTCGAGGTGATAACAAATCTACGCGAAGACTTGTTCTCTTCAATCTCAATACATATAAACCTCGTAGGATCACATATGCTATTATTTTGTCTGAAATATACAATTTTATGAGGTCGACCTCGTCAATTTGGTATTTTCTTCTAACTTGGATCAGGTTGAAATGGGAACCAATAAATAAGCGGATTGTCAATAAACATGGAACGGAAAAGTATATTTATTTATTTAAATAAGAAAGGAAACGGCTGATATTCGGCCTGAATTTAAATAAAGTCATATCAAATCGGAAATTATGACAAGTGATGAAAAAACCCATCCCTCCGATTTAATTGCAAAAAAAATATTTGTTGAAAAAGAGAAAGCGGAACAGTTTTATTGTGAACTTTTAAAGCCAAAATATTAAAATTCTAGGTTTATTTAAGCCATTCCAAGAAATGCATCTTTTCCATCTTAATTCTATACCTCTTATAAACGATTACATGCAAAAGAAAGCCCGACATCCGGTGAGTTTCTCAGATATTATTTAGGATTTATTACATCTCTTTCTCTCTGTTCTATCAGTTTTTCGAGATAAATCGTTTTTTCCGACGTCTCCTGTAAGTATCAGATAGAAAATCGTCACTCATTTCCCAATCTACTATCGTATACTAACCTTCTCCTCGTAAAATATAAGACCACGTAATATTATTATAATATCTACTTTCGTGGTGTGGTGGTGAGGACGGTCTAATAGAAATTCTAACCCGGTCGAGCCTACCAGTCGGGTCTGAATCAACTTACTTGAGATTAAGATGCCTGAACCAACAATGGGAAAGAGATCTTTACGCAATTCATACCTATGTATAAAGCAGCTCCAAAAACGTCGTCACCAAAAACCCTTTTAACAAGACTAGTACCAACCACCACACAATTCAGTTTCAAGTATTCCAGTCAAGATTCCAATCTTAATGGCTCTCAATTCTCTCAGTATCTCAACTGAACGACAACACTCACTCACTTTAATGCTGTTTCAACAGTCAAATGTTTCAAGTCCGCAAGTGGAAGAAGAACCCACCAGGAAATAGTAGCAAGAGATGCCTCTCCTGGAATGGTGATGATAATTTAATGTCTCTAAACATCTCTGTCCTCTTCACTGTTTGAGAGTTGAAGGACAAACCGGGAGAAGAAAGTAAAACAAAACAATGGTCAATTAATGGCCACAGTTTAGAATTAGCCCACTCGAAATGTGGTAACGAGGTTGGCGAGATTAGCGGAATTAGTAAAAAGAGGAAGCGTAGCTTGTGTGGCATGGTCCAATAAAAAACATTAGGATTCCACACACAAACAGAATAGGAAATAGTCAATGGAGTGGGTTAATCTGATTCAGAAATAATTTGAAGTTGTGATGCTGACAGAATTTATTGGATTTCCTTGTTTTACTTTCTTTTTTAAGGGGGCAACCAAAATGGTCAGAGAGAAAAATAAGGAAACACAGATTCAAAGAGTTGGTTGCTTACATAGTCGTCGTCACTGCTTGTTAGTGAAACCTTCCCTGAACGAGTGCACACACGGTGGAAAAGGAAATCCTAAAATCTGTCCATTATCGACTTAAAGAGAGAGAAAGAGGGATTAGATGGAGAAAGTTGCTGCTCTTCGTGGTGGTAGTTTGCCCTCTAATACCTACACAAATGTAAATACACACATTTTCTTCCTCCAGAGACAAGCTATACAGTTCTGAAGCGATTTATTATCGGTTGAATGGCATAACATTTCCATCTTTCATTTTTTTTTAAATATTGTGATTTTACTTCAAGACAAGAAAATCTTGTTGGAAAGCTTTTTTTACTTTACCCAAATAAAGTTTATGGTCAGCGATTTGTTCTGATCCTCGGCCCACATCAGTCTTTGGTCACGAGGTGAGAATAGCGGGTGACAGGTGAACACGGATTACAAGATTGGATTACACTCGAGGAAAAACTTTTTCCATATTTTATGCACATCAACAATTCTCCATTCCTCAATCGTAGAGACGTATGTTAGTAAATCCCATGGAGAGTGAAAGTATGGGATTTATTCCGCTATCTTATCCCCCCACAAAAAAAAACTCCTCGACCAAGAACTAAACTCGTTCAGTCGTTTCAATTTGAAGTCGAGAAGTTTTGAATTAAAATCATAAATGGAATTCCCTCCGAGATAAGTGAATCGAGGTATATTTATGTCACGGTCATACAACTTTTTTCATGCACCACCACGCGTCGTGCATGCATATTATTGAGACCGTGGGTGTTGTACTTATCAAGAGGAGGGCACAAAAGATGAAAAATCTCTCCATGAGTGCACATTAACCAGCACAAGGCCTCACAAAAGCAGACTGAATTAGAATTCTGATGAAAATCATCATTCCCCAGCAACAAAAGGCCTTCCCACCCTTAATCTTAATTAGTGCGAGCGCATATGCATCGCTGGATGGATGATGAAGTCAATAGGTGAACACCAATTCAATACTGCTTGTAACTCGAACCCCCACTGGTGAGACATGACTGGAATAAAATTACGGTCCCAATTTATTTCTCCTCTCGAAAAGCGAATCGAATACTCTTAACACTCTCATCATTCACCTCAGCAACCATTTCGACGAAACTAAACGAAACGTAAAAGTCAAGTCAGCTTTCATTCCGAGAAATGTACGTACGGTGTGGGCAAATGTTGTCTAGTACGCTTTTGGAATCGTGTAAAGGAAACGTCAATAAATAGTGGATACAGTTTATTTAAGCAGAAATCGATGGAGGATGTACATCCCGAGCCATTTCTCAATATTTGTAATTTATGAGATACATAAGTAAGTACATATATTTTTTAGTTCGGTTTGTTCAAAGAGGATCACTCGTTCTGGTAAAGCACGTGTTTTTTGGAATGAATTCATCTCCTCACAGGCTTCACTTTCGGGAAACAGTTTCCTTTTTATGGTGCAGGGTATTCCGACCCAGGGTTTTATTGGGTTGGGTTTTTTGGGTTTTAATGGGTTTTAATGGGTTGTTAATGAATAAAACCCAACGGGTTTTACCATGTTAAATGGGTTTTATTTGGGTTTTAATGGGTTTTATTAGGGTTTTAATGGGTTTTAACTGTGTTTTAGCTTAAAACTATATTCTAAAAGCTGAAAACAGCTGTCATGCGTTAGACGAAGTTGTTTGATGGCAGCTAAGTAGTTTATTTGATTAATACTGTAAGTTTTGACAACCAGGAATAAATCAGGGACATCCCTTACCATTACAGGCTACAAGTGACAAAAAATACAAAAAATTAATTTCGGAACGAGGTATGTTTAACTGATCATACATAATTTAATACATTTTGCGATCATAATTAATACTTTTTTCCAGAAAACTTCCTCTCATCTCAGCGAATAAATTAAACAAAATACTATAGTATTTTTTAAATTTAGATATAAAGTTTTTTTAAATGTTTCAAAGGGATCTTAATTATCACCTCTTGAAAAATCGAGTACTTATGGACAACGAAGTACTTTATTATGAGCAAAATAGTATATCTGTAAAAAGCCCTTATTATATTCTCGATCGTAATACATGCGTACTTTGTGCTTTCGTTGTTCATGTACTCGATTTTTTCCAGAATTGATAATACACGTTAAGATCGCATTGAAACATTAAATTTTAAAAACCTTTAAACAACTTGGATTTCATTATGATGAGAGGAAGTATGCGAGAAAAAGGTAATATATGTAATTATGGTCTCATAAAGTATTAAACTATGATCAGTTAAATAGGACCCTTTCGAAACGGATACATACTGATATTCTAACATGGACAAGGTGGATTTGCATATTAACTGAAATTAGATTGCAAAAGTTGTGAAAATTATTGTTCAATGTGTTACTTATGTAAAACCTAATAAAACCCAATAAAACCCATAAAACCCATTAAAACCCAAAAAACCCATTAAAACCCATTAAAACCCCTGGGTCGTTACTTTTTGAATAAAACCCTGGGTTTTTCCGAACCCTGTTATGGTGACTTTCACTTCCCGAAATGCTCACTTTCACCAGGCTTGAAATACTTATTTATTTAGCAGAGTTTAAACAAGCAGAGGAGTCAACACTGTTTTATAATGAGGTAGGAATAAATCATGAATTTTCAATTTGTTTAAATACTTTAGCGAATTTGATCCCTATTTGCATTCTGCTTGAGTAAACAAAATGTGCAGATTTGTAGAGTCACTAATTAACGGGGGAATTCGAGACGTGTAGGTATAAATTTTTTATTAGCGACATTATTAACTTAGTGCTCATTAACTACAGAGATTTCCATCCTTCTAATCTCCACGGATTAAGAGGGAGGGAATTAGTCAACATGTCATTATTATCAGAACGGGACAGACAGACGGACAGCTCCTTGCCAAGAATTTGTCACTTTGATTGAATACTCCTACGAGAGGCAATTTGTTTATTTGTACTGTTCCTGCTACTGCTCAGATATTCATTGAAATCTGCAACTTCGTCTGTGCTAAAGGAGAACCCATTTTCGAAATGGATTTGAGACATTGCATATTATCTAATGTAGGATTCCAATTCGGTGCTGATTTGTTATTTGAGTGCTTATTTTCACCTTCATTCATTTCCATTACGTAACTAAAATTTATAGAAGGAGAGACACAGCCACACCCTGCCCACCACCTGTCTTCACGTATTACGGACATGGGGTAATAGGCTATACTGGAATATTTAGACCGTGACCCCACCCACCCATCCAACACGACCACCTACTCCAATCTGTAAGCATCCAGGTGTTTGGAATTTGGTAGGACGACGACGCCGATCCGCTTTCCACTTCAGATACAGGATACACTTCATTCATTTTGACAGCAGCTGCTTTCTCTTGCTTGGACAGAGTGAAAGTAAAATATGTCGGGTCTCGGGTGCAGGCTGGAGGCTGCTTATGCGTAGCTGTAGCTGCTGCTGTGTGGCCATACACCGTAGTAAATAACGCTGATTTATAATGACTCAATCAATCATGTCGCTCTTTTCTCTCCTTCTTGACTCTCTCGCCAGAAGAAATACCAAAAGACTGCATTAATACGCTTGCTGCTGGTGGTGGTGCTAGTTGTGGGTGTGAAAGCATTATCATTACGCAACTCTAAAACCTATGCTTAATGACTTCTCGACGCCATAATGAGAGTGAGATTAGGGCCGTGGCGACGA